ATTTAGTCACTACCAATATTGAGCTGCTTTGAAAATACAATATGTGACTGCTCACAATGGACAGGTATGAATATGCTGTATTTAATTATAGTTTATTTAAAAAAACACTCTGAAATGAATGGGAGCCAGTGGCGTAGCGTGGGGGGTGCAGGGGGGGCTGGCCGCACCGGGCACAACATCTGGGGGGGCCGCAGCTCTCTGCCCCTACCTGGCTCACTCACTCTCTCTCACTGCAGTGCTGGCTGTGCGAATCCGAGCCGAGCCGCTGGGTCGCCGCCCACTGTGGAGGGGGTGGGTGCCAGGCGTGCGGTGCGGAGAGAGAGCGAGGGACTATCTGGGGGAGGGACAGTGCAGCGGCCGCCCAGCGCAGCGCTGAGCGCGGGAGAGAACCACACCAGACCAGACCAGGCAGCAGCAAGAAGAAGCTGGCAGCGGCGGCAGGTTAGGGGTTAGGGGGCGCAAATTACTTGCCTTGCCCCGGGTGCTGACAACCCACGCTACGCCGCTGATGGGAGCACACCAGTCAGTATAAACCTATAAGAAGAAAGATTAGCCAGGTCTGAATAAATATGACTGAAATGACCCGGCCCTGCAACTACAGCTCCCATCAGCCCTAGCAAGAATGGCAGATGACCAAGGATGAGGTACGTCATCGTTCAGCAATATCTGCAGGACCAAAGTGTACTCCCACAAACTCTACAATTTATTCAGCGATTTGATACATATTCAGATAACTGTTTTAACTCATACATATTCTGACTTTTCTGGTTGTGAATTGGTAGGATTCAAGTGAAATAGAAATGATAGTTCCATGATAGTTTCCCAGTCAAACAGTTCTGAACGAGCTTGAGTTTTGCAGCTCTGTCATAGCATCAAATGAATTTTCAGGCAGCAAGAGTGATGCATTATCTCAGGACCTGGAGCCTTTGATACTCAAACTCCACAGTACTTATTTATATATTTCCACTTTTGAAACACTTCCTATAAAACACCCTGAAGTGATAAACAATATCAACAATAAATGACATTTTAAACAATTTCATCTATACACAATTCAAATACAGTGCACATACAGACTGAGATATTATACACAGTGATACCTTGGGTTACAGACGCTTCAGGTTACAGATGCTTCAGGTTACAGACGCTTCAGGGTACAGACTCCACTAACCTAGAAATAGTACCTCGGGTTACGAACTTTGCTTCAGGATGAGAACAGAAATTGTGTCCCAGCAGCGTGGCAGCAGCAGGAGGCCCCATTAGCTAAAGTGGTGCTTCAGGTTAAGAACAGTTTCAGGTTAAGAACAGACCTCGGGGACGAATTAAGTACTTAACCCGAGGTACCACTGTGTGTGTGTGTGTGTGTGTGTGTGTGTGTGTGTGTGTGTGTGTGTAAACTCCACTTAAAATATCCACTTTTTAAAAAGTCTGAAAGGGGTCTGTCCCTGAGAAATCAATGGGACTAGTTTATATTGACTTAAGAAAACTAGATAATAGGGTTTGTGAGTTCACTAATAGACATTTGGCCCTACATTTAACTACATCAATCTTCTATCCTTACAGTGGGTGATAGTCAACCAAGTCATCCACTCAATTACTGTTTGAAAGGATATGTCCTGAATATGACTAACATTGGTTATCACTCAGTATAGTTAATGATGAAGGTAATTATTATTGCCTCAAAAAAGCCAATATAGAGGGTTTAAAACCCAGAATAAATATGTGGGGCGGGGGGAAAGAGATTATAGAGGTGAGATACTCCTCCTTTACCACACCTCTCCTCACCTACCTGCATAATTAGGGTTTAAAACTGGAATTAAATGGTAGGGCTGTGAAAGGCCCCCAGTTGGCTGGGGCCTAAGTTGGGTCTCGACTGGTCTGGCCTAGATTGGGGCCTAATTGGCGTTACCAAATTGGGCCTCAAACTGAATTAGGACTGGAAGACAAACCAGGAGACAGGACCAAAGGACAGCCAAAGATTCCAGGAACTCACCAGAGCTCAAGAAGACTTTCTTGCTTGAGCAAAACTTGAAATAGGAACACCTTTTATAGCTCTTTTTCCCCCGGGGGCTTACCTCCCTTGCAAATTTAGGATTTAGTCAGATTTTGATCACATGCTCAATTTTCTGTTAACTGTACATGGTATTTTCTTCAAGCACTGTAACAGCAGTTCCAGGCCAACCTTAATAATAATTTGTAAAGAAGTTTTTTACTGGTTCTTCCCAATTTGCTGATTGAGAAAACTTCCTGTCTGTGTTTTGTTCAAACAGGCACATATTTACTCAATTTATTTAGCTTCATAGCACCATATTCACCTCCCTAACCTGAAAAACTAGCTACTCCAGGTTTTTCCCTCATACATTTTGCTTTTTAAAAAATCAAATTTCTTATTTCAGTGGATATTTGTAGGTGCAGCACATAGTGAGTTTGTCCGTATTTCAATGCTCCTCTGTTACTTCCTTAACAAGTGAATACCACAAGGATAGCGCCAAAATATATCCAGTGCAACATTAAGTTACAAAATCATTGTATTTGTCCTCTATGGTTCTCTAGTGGACCGTTGGCTGTCATGCAGGAGACAATTCAATATATTCCATTTTCATACATTTCAGTACCTTCAACTTATACATGAGCCCAATTTCAGCTTTCCAAATGACAAATGCTGATAATTTTGTGGTGGAAGATCCCTCATGATTTTGATATTTCACTGTCAGTTAGCTAGTGGGGGGGGGGGCCTAAACATCTTACGTATGATTTTTTAAAGTTATTCTCTCTCCCCGCACCCACCCACCCCACAAAAAAGTGCAAAGAGCAAATGTTCAGACTAATCTATATTGTAAGCTTGTGCTCTGTCAAGTTTGGCAAGTTCATAGTTCTTAGTCTAAATACTATGCTTGTTTTTCGGCTTCAATAATAAACAATTACTGCATACATGTATTAAACTCCCATTTTGTCAGACTTGGAAGTCAATCAAAGTCTTCCTCTGGTGGAATGTGCCCTGTATCTATCCAATAGAAATATGAGCAGGACCACACAAAATGGTCCCACCCATTTCACGGTCCTTAAAATAAACCGTAACCACGAAAACTTGTCATTTCCTACTTATTAAAAAGGAAACTCTCATACTATGTCATGCCATTTCCAGTTCATTTTATCTCTGCATCTGAGCCTTTGTTCACTCAGCAAATGAATATTCAATGGACACTGATTCGACCAAATTAAGCAATTGTGTGAATTTTACCACAAACACTAAGAAAAAGAGAAAGAAGTGTTGCACCTAAAATTGCCCCAACCCTTACCGTCAAAGTTAAAATTTACTTCAGACATCATATCACAACTGTGAAAGACAGATGGTTATTAAAGCCTTGCTTAACTGACTATTTTATTGGACCAACGTATGATTCAGAAGGAGGGGTCCTATCGACAGTAGCATCAGAAGTTGCAGATGTTCAACAGTCATACACTTTTACACAGATATAAACACCTAATAAAATGCAGGCTATAACTTATCCACATGTGCCTCCCTCCCTCTGTTGAATCATACCTTTCAATCTAAAAAGCAAATTATTTCATCTCCTAAAAACAAATAGTACCTGCTCATATGCTCCAGCAACCAACCAACAACCTGCCCTACACAAGCCACGTCCCTTTTCTTACTCCCAAGGGTGTGTATGTACCAATAGGTGCCGTGCCAGTAATACCAACAAGTGTTAGTGCTAATGCCCAGGGATGGGTTTACCCTGCTCTGTGCCAGTATCTGAGAGAGCTGTGAGTTTTCCTTTAAGCTAAGATCTCCTGGCTCATTGTCAGCAAGCCCATGCCAGCTGCACCAGCCAATGAAAGCTTATAGGAAAAATAAATTTGTCATAGGAAAAGTACAGAAATGTGATTGCTTTCATGCAGGACTACAGTCAAGAGATTGTTTGACTAAATTATGCTAAGGCTGAAGGGGTAAAGGGGTGGGGGGGCAGAAAAAACCTTGCCAAATTAGATTGCGGTCAATTAAAATGTAAGTGCCTGGACTTGCCCACAAGGAACAAAAATATATTTTAAATAACAAAACCCAGTGATGCTGCTGGCTTCATTTTGTTGATAAATCCAAGCCATTGCAAAGCCATTTTGCTCCATCATCCCACCAAGGTGTAAAGATTGGCCAGAGAATGAGCAGCTGCAGAGTCTTCTTCCCCTCCCTTCTGGCTAGAAGGTTCCAGCTGTTAACTGCCCTGGGATGACAGAAGGGAAGAGATGGACACTCTGGTCTCTACCACCGGCCTGAAGAACAAGGGACCTGGGTACTAGTTTATTTAATCATCTGAATGCATTGTAAGCACAGCCTTGGAGGTCATTAGAACAAACGGTGATATAATTCTTTCACGTAACCATTCAGAAACAGAAAAATGACGTGCGAAGGGAGGGTAATGTGAGAAGCACAGTTAAGAATGAAAATGGAAGATATTATGGAATCTTAAGGGAAGTGCCTGGTCTTAAGTTTATGAGCTTCAAAAAAAGCTCTACCGACACAAATCACATTAAAGGTGAAAGATATTCCTGGGTAGAGCACATTATTTGAGGTTCTGTTTGAACTTACTCCATTTCATCCAAAATGCAACTGAAATTAATGAATAGCTTCGAAAGGGAAGAGGAAATGGAGTGAACTTAAAATATCCTCAGCCAAATGCCAGTGTTCCTGGAGTCTCCCATTATAAAGTGCTAATGACTTTAGGCCAGGGATGGGGAACCAGTTTTGTTGGACTCCAGCTCCCCTGGCCTGGTAGAATCCCTTTGGCTAACCCTACCATGGCAAAGTAATTGGAAAACTGAGGCACAACAGCATTTTTAAAAGGATATCAGCTCCTGTCTTTATTATTAAACTACTTCTAAGTAAGTGTAGATCATGAATGATTCCAATTGTTAATGGAGTGAGGAAATGTGAGAGCTTTCTTCAATGGCCAAGTTAACTCATTGTATCAGACGTAAAGAAAGACAGACACAATAAACTTGCAAGAAATTCACAGCCATGTATTGATTACAGCATGGATTTGGGGTTAATCAAAACATATTGTGGTTTTACAGAGTATTGAAGTTGGGTATGGCGAGTTGGGTATAATAATGGTTATATTATTATATTTGAATCTATAGTCAAAAAGGTATGATATGGATTATTGTCTTTTTTCCTTTTTTCACTTTGGCTAATTCCTTTTGATATAGAATGCAAGCTTTTTTAATATTTTGTAGTTATTTTGTCATTGTAGTTCTGCAGATGTTCTGCTTAAACTCTGACTTCCCCTTTTTTTTGAATTGTAATCAGGGTGGATAAAAATCTGATTTTTTAAAAGAGGAAGAGTAAAGAAAGAACTAAACTATGTAAATAACGTTAGAGAGACCTGCATCAACTTCTATTGTCTTCTGGCTTTGTCACATTCGGTGTGAAGGGAGGAACACCCTGAATTAAGAAAGGATTTCCAAATGGAAGCTAGCAATAATAGGGCCATATACTGTGACAGCATAAAAAGACCAAAGTTGTTTTATTTGCCCATGAATATGCTACTTGGGTGGTAGAAGGTACTTGGTTTCCTCAATAACCTAGTGTATTAGCAACTTTGTAAAAATGGAGGATCCTAACGCCATATTTACTAAGACACCTAATCTACTCTGAAGAGGTGAAGAGATCAAGTGCATTTCTGTTAAATCTATTATACATGTTCACCACGAAGCGCATGATGGCATTCGCTCCCCTATAGCTCTCTCAAGTATTTCCTTTTTTAAAAAGGAAATACAAGTGATGATGCATCATACTGCACAATATTGTAAAAACTGAAAACAAACTGATGTGCAAGTCAAAGGATTTTTAATTGCTATATTAAGAGGTATGGTTTTTTAAATAAGCACAGTATGCTATGTTCTGGAGTCATGGGACTGTAGCTGCCGAAATATGCCTAATATTCAGCATTTCATGCATTATTACTCCATCTGGACCTGTTACCATTTGAAATAGCTGCCTTGACTATTATTGTCACTGATGTTGCCAACTAATTCAAACGTTAGGGACTGTGTTCTAGATGCATAATACAAATACTTGAGATTCAGCTTATTTGATACATTAGTTCTTCTTTGTGTGCCCCCTAAATGAAAACATACTTATTTCAATGTTCGCTTTACAGCATCCTGATTAAGGAATAACCCCAGCATCATAGCTACCAATATATAGCTGAATAAGTCATTTCATACACATTTGGGCGGCCTTGGCTCCAAGTTCAAAATCTCATCTTCAATAAGCAAAGCACTTAAATCCAAGATTTACCAGCACAGGTTCCTAATGCAGATTAAAGCCTACTCTTAAATCTCTGGAACTCTGGATTTTCTGAGATCCTGGTTTGTTTGAACATCCCTGCTCTATGGAGTTTTTAAGACTGGTCCTCTGGAAATGGATAAATATTTTAATGGGGAAAACAAATATGCTGACTCTTTATTTCATCCTACTAAAGAATACACAAAATCAGAAAGCTTTGAGGTCTTCACAAACATTTTTGTTACACTGAGCTAGAGTCAAAATGATGTTTTAATCAGTTCAAACGGCATGCGATTTTCTAAGGTGGAAACTTGAGATGAGACGTCCACTGATTAGGATACATAATAGGACCTAGCTTTCACATACATGTTCCAAAGTAGGGGTGGTCTCAGATGGCCTTCAACCTACTATGAGAAGCCCTCTACAAACAATCAGTTCAGATCTCTGGCAAGAGCAATCTGTTCTTCGTGTGGCAGCTTGCTGGAGAAGGAGAAAGAGGGAGGAGGAGGCGGCCCTACCCATCACCTTCTGCCTCCCCACCACCAGCATGTGGACCAAAACAGAGGACAGACCTCAACAGAAAAAAAGGTTGGTCACCCATGTTCTTAAGTAACCGTGGAAAGGAGACGAGGCACATGGCAAAACATGGAAGCAAGAATCCTCATCAATACTTTAGGGAAGTCTGTCCTCAACCAAAAGTCTTAACAGCAGACTGAAGAACAAAATAAAACGATCAGCTCTCTAGTATTCCATACTAGAAAGGAATACTGAGTAGAAGACAAAGGAGACCCTCAATCAAATGACAAAGCACACGCATCTCAATAGAATCTGGGTTTGGCACCTGCCTAAATCTGAACTGAATGAGGGAATCAGATCCAGATTCTCCTGTAGCATTAACTGTATGTGTCTGGAAATCCAGACATCTAAATATTTAAATTGGTGCTGCTGCCAATGCAAAGGATACTTAATAAAATGGTGCTAAAAAGAGACACAGTTTCCGCCAATTGGTGGAATATATACAGAGCATATACCAAACACGTACCAAAGTGAATTATTTTCTAACAAATTTGGGGATAATAATATATAGGTCAAAGAATATAGTAAGTCAATGTAGTATCCAAAAATAAGTTATACTCACTTAGCACACACTGATTATTCCTAGAATTAGGACTTCATAGTCCTCTGGAGCTGTACTTGGTGTCTTTAACCTCAGCCAGGAAAAATTGTGCCAAATATCAACTGTACAAAATATCTAGGCAGGGTTGCACAATTGTTGTATGAAGACTCCTGCTTTGTAGTAAAGTGGAGTTTCATGGCCATTTGAGCTCTTCCAACAATGCAACATTTGTCTGAAAATGCTTTATTTTATGGGTTGGACTCCTGTGGCAGAAAGCAAAGATGGCAGTAACTATAGTTTTAAATGTTTAGGAGACTGAAGCTTGCTTCACAACTTCCAGTAACACAACTGTACAAGGAACACAGCACTGCTTTGTAATTTATAGTTTTATGTAGATCCAAACTATTCTAGCAAAATTTAAGCAACACACACACCCTTTTCACAGTTACCTTACTGAAGGGATGGGAAACCTTTGGCCCTACAGATGGTGTTGGACCCAAACTTCCAAAATTATTCACCTTTTTAGTCACACTAGCAGGAGCGGATGGGTGTTAGAATCCAAGAACATCTGGAGGACCCAAAGTTCCCCAGCCCTGCCTTAGAGAGATGTGTATAAGTGCCGGCTCCAGGATTTGGGCCCCCCTAACACAAGGCATTCTTATGAATCCTCAACCTGGAAACAACGTGCAACACTAGGCTGGGGAAGTAGTGCAGTTAGGTAATTTCAGACTCTGGTTGTACAGCACACACACAGGTAATGTGTATTTATTCAAAATGTGATAAGTCTGTCCTGATTCATTTGGAGGCTCTCCTGCTGATTCTTCTATGTGTGACTCTTGACTTGAAGGCACTTACTTGAAAGCACTACTGCAAGCAAATGCTAAGGTGTAGTGATGGTCACTAATGTCTTAAAGTGGGATTAGACAAATTAAATAATTAGAAGTTCTGGATGTGATAGATAAACAGAACCTTCAGATTAAAAGGCAGTATGCAGCCAAATCTCAGTTACTAGAGAGGCAATGGTGTGGGAGGCCTAATGCCTTCATGCCCTGGTCATGGCTTCCTAGAAACATCTGGCTGTATCAGACAGACCTTTGGTCTAATCCAGCAAGGCTCTTGTGTTTCAGAAATAAGAATCTTATCCTTTGCCTCTACAAAATCAAATAAAATTATATCCTCAGATTGCTTTCCTTCAAATTTCTATAAAATATTCTTAGAAGTAGCTCTGTATATGCTATGGGTGACCAGCACTTAAGAAAGGCTGGTCCTACAGAAGGCAGTAAGGCAAAGTTCATGAATTTATTCATCAGCTTCCCTGTACATTGAACAAAATTACATAATCACACTTTAAAGAGACATTTACACACTCTTGGAGGAGCCCAATGTAATAATGGAATTATACAATAAAATACACTAACAGATAATTATCAAATGAAGAAGCTTCTGAGATTTCCCCTCTTCTGTTTCTAGAAAGGAAAAGCAATACATTTCTTGGAATAAAATAAACAATAGTGAAGTTACATCCATGAGGATGTCTGCAGTGCACACACACACACCCAGGAACTAGACAGCGTAACAAGATTTTATGTCTTTATTTGAAAATTAAACAAAAATACAATGCTTTAGTACAAAATTGAGCTTTGTTTACCTGATGGAACGATACATCATGAAATCAATTGTTGTACACCTAGGAAATTTACCAATAGAACTTTCTTCCACTGGCGTATACACCTTGATTTGCCGCATATGAGTGTCTCTTCCATTTTGGTGATTGGCTAAAACAGCAATCTGAATCATAAAAGTGCGGATAGGTTTCTTATGAGTATCTGTTAAGGCTACGTGAATCCAACCACTGGGTTCCACTAATTCAAGTTGCTGGAGAAGAAAAGAAGAATAAAAAGGTAGAAATGGAATCAGATTAAATTATCATTTAGCATAAGCAATTAATTATTCAGTACAAAAGGAAGTGGACTGAAGTGGAAAATGAGAGTTGAGCATACATGATTGCATAGCCGTCTCACATTTGCCACATACACAGTCCAGCAAGGACCTTGAGAAGGAAAAGGAAGGGCTGTAATGCTTTCTTTAGGCATCTGCAAAATGCCACTTCTACATCTTAACAAGGAAGATACATACAGTGGAACCTCGAGTTACATATCGTCCTCCTTACAAACGCTTCGGGTAACGAGCTCTGCTAACCCGGAAGTAGGTGCTCCTGGTAGCAAACTTTGCCCCGGGATGCGAGCGGAAGTCATGCAGCGGCAGCGGGAGGCCCCATTAGCGAAAGCGCGCCTCAGGTTAAGAACAGTTTCAGGTTAAGAACAGACATCCGGAACAAATTAAGTTCGTAACCGGAGGTACCACTGTAGTTTTGCCAAAGGTAAAAGTGTTCATGGGGCAGGAGCTACCAACACTGCAAAGTTACTGGCATGTAAGGATGCTAGACTTTTGTGAAGCATTTTTCTATCTTCTTAGCAAGACAGAAGCAAAGGTTGTCCCCTTCTCCCCCCCCCAAAACATGCTGTACATCTTAAGTTTTTCTATTTTGACGGTTTGTGAAATTTCATGTCAGTGGTGCAGTTAGCATATAAATCAGAATATAGTGCTATGTGCATGAGCAGGAATGGGCCTAAGCAAAGCCCTGAGCTTGTGTATTTGCACCTTCTCCCTCTCTCTCAGTCAGGAGGACTTCTGCTGCATTTAGTTTCACTTTCCATGAACAAATTCCGATCAGTTTCAAAATGAGCCAGCTTCAAACCATGGGTAATTAAAACTGACTTGTTTAACTAACCTGAGGTTATTTTAAACCACCGTCTATGGTTCATACATGATGAGAAAGCAAGGATTCATAGAAAGTAAAGCTAAACACTGCGGAATCCTTCTCCTGGCCATTATGAGAGGGGGAGAGGAAGGAGTGCAAGAGCCAGAGCTTTTCTCAGACTCAGTCCAACTGATACACTTAGCAATAAACCATGGTTTAGTTGTTATGTGCAGACAAGTTCACTGACATGTACAAAACCATGACGATTAATATCTCACAACAAGTTTAATTTCACGACCTGCAAAATTTAGACTCCTGTTATCTTATTCCAACCATCCATTCCTGACATGTTGCAACATGGATATGACAATGTACACAATTTAACTGTGTTAGAAGAGCACTGTCAGAATGTGGTGTGGCGTACAGAACAAAGGGCAGAATCAAAACTTAGATTACTGGTTTCAGATATGAAACAGCTATTCTTTTATTTTTGGATTTACAAATTGAGATCAGATATTTAAGAAGTGAGGATAGAAATAAATGATTTTCAAAAAGTAATTAGATTTTTAGCATTTAAATGGGATTTCTTTTTTTAAATCATATTAACTGGCCCTTTAAAATCCAAATGTTACAGTATTATAACAACATAATTAGGTCAAACAAAATGCCAAAAAGTTGTGAGCAACATGGTTGTTTATAATTTCTGTGTGCTTTTGTTTAAAAATGTGAACTGGGTTCAAATCCCTACTCAAGACACTGAGTGACTTTGGGCTATTCATCCCTCAGCCTACTAAAACAAAAGGTTATTGTGAGGGGTTTTGTTAAAATTAGTAAGCAAGGGGGGACTATGTATTTTACTTTATGCTCCTTGGGAGGAAAGAATGGCTATAATCACATAATAAAATTAAGTAAACATCCAGCTAATCCATTTTTTAAGTATTTATCATGATATAGTTTACCAAATGATATGAACAAAAAATTCTCTGGGTGGTTCACAAATAAAACTTGCAAAAATAAATTCTTACCAGAATGAATACACACACACACACACACACACACTCTTCAAGTATGTCACTTCTAAACGCTAGACTGAAAAGCCCTCTCAGTAGGCAATGATTTCTAGTAATTTATTGATGCACCATATCTTGGCACTCAAACAAACCCCCCCCCCCGCCTGCCCCTCCTGGTGAGTTTGCTGCACTTCCCTGAAGTGCACGTGCCTCCTCCTAATAGCTTTAAAGAAAGAATAACTTATCTTGAATTTTGCAGTCTCTGCCCCATGGCTCCCATGTACCACAACATAACTACAAGGAATAGGTTTCAGCAGGCTGCTGTGCAATTCCAAAACTGGAACTGTCAACACATGAAGTAGCAGATTTTGGGCGCCTGCCATCTCTTCGCTTAAGACAGAAGAGAACAAGTTAATAGCAATGATGCACCGGTTCCAGCTAGAAAGTGAAGCGTATCCAAGAGAAACTTCAGAAATTCCAAGTGAGTCAAAAGGAGGGACACCACAAGAGAAGCTTTACAAGAAATGCAGAAGGAACTCCAGTCAAAGAGCTCACTGTGGAGAGGCCGACTCGCTTGCCCTCGTGAAGCAACGACCACCTAGGGAGGTGACGGTGTGGCCACCATCCGTTACCTCCTGTAAATGGTCAAGACGTGGCTTACTTCAGTCCATTAGGTCAGAAGAGCTTTCTATTCACTCAAGAAGCTAAAACAGACATTCCTGGAGAGTCTACAGGAAGACAGTCCGGTTCCAAATAAATGCCAAATATGAAAAAAAAAATATTTCAACAACAATTTTTGTAGAAGGAAACATATAGAAAAGGAAAGACCATCAAGATGGTGGAAATGACGAAATGCCATGGCAGGGAATCCTTGAACACAGTCCAATGAAGGCTCAGAGGAACAGTCTCTGCACCACACACAACCTCTTTCCTGCAGGATTAAACAAAATTGTGGACACCAACAGGTGTAGAAAAGATCACAATTTTGTATTCTGCCATGCGCTCACATAGTTGGAAGCAACTGTGCACTGTCCATTTAGCAAAAGTGACAGAGACGTATTGAAGGAAACAATAGGTGAATGTGTCTTTCTCTTTTTTAAAAAAAATCTTATTTGACAGTTGTCAGGGAACTGCCATCGGACGGAAGGGAGGTGAAAGGGCTCACACAGGTTGGGAGAGACGCAGCAGCTGAAGAGGGAACCAACAGGGAGGTGAAAGGGCTCACACAGGTTGGGAGAGACGCAGCAGCTGAAGAAGGAACCAGCAGGGGAGAGGAGCTGAGCTGGAGGGATGGCTCAGAGACACTTCCAGCGAAAACAGTGGGGAGGTTTCAGAACCTCCTGTAAGAACACCCACTCCTCGCCGGAAACTGTCACGCAGAGATTCCAGAAGACGTGTTTCCGTTAAGGAGCTTTTATGTTGGAAGCGATTACGAAAGCAACCACTGTCGGAATCTGCTAGTGACTAGAGCAGCCATGTCTGAGGGGCTCCGTCACAGACAGAGGTTTGTGGACTTGAACAAACTCTGAGGGGATACGATTTTACGCACAAGCAGCTCATCATCCCATCACAGCATTCCGACAGTCTTTGAAAGCAGCTTGTGCAGGAGAAGGCATCATGAGCAACCCAGCCGGAACTGGAGAAGCAGGAGCTGGAGCGGGTCCAAGCCTGGAAGAAAGGTACCAGATGTTGGAGGTCCAGCTAGCGATGCAGACGGCGAGGCTTGAGGAGAGGAGGGCTCAGGATGCAGACAAAAGGGGGAAGCCACCCAGTTCGCCAGAAAGGTACCAGGATTGGTGCAGAAGTTTGGGGGAGCCCAAAACTATCATGGTTTTCGGACAGAAATGCAATATGCCCTCAATCTGCAGTTTGATGAATTCCTGACGAGGAATCACGAGTGGCTTTCGTGATTGAGCATCTTGAAAAGGGGGCGAGAGACTGGGTTAGACCCTGATGGCAGCGAATAGTGACGTCTTAAAGGACACGATGAAGTTCTTTCGCGCCATGGATCTGATGTTTTCCAGCGATATTGAAAAGGGAGTGGTGCGCAGACAGTTAATGGGTTGCAAACAGGGGAGCCGATCTGTCCGTGAGTATTGGACTGAGTTCACCATGCTTGTTCACAGATTGGGGTGGGACTTATCGGCGGAACCCATTCAAATGCTCTTTGAAGAAGGGCTTTCTTCGGCTGTGAAAGACGAACTTTCCCGGGCGCCCAGGGCGGAGTCTATGGACCAGCTGACCAAATCAGCGCTGGCCATAGGAGCGCGCCAGGAGGCGAGAGCATTGGAGAGGCGGGAAGGGAAAGGGGAACGTTGGAAGGAGTTCCGCATTCCAGACATTCCAGAGCCAACTTTCCCACCGGCAGAGCCGATGGAAATCGGAACAGCGCGCGCGCGCGCAGTTTCAAAGCCCAGTGAGGGGGCAAAGAAGGAGGGAAAAGGCGCCCGGAAATGCTATCTCTGCCAACAGCCAGGTCACTTTGCCAGAGTCTGCCCTCAGAGGAAAGAATGGCAAGGGATGGTAGGAGCTGTGGATGGAAGAGAGGAAAAATACCGGAGCAAGTAAAAGCCAACGCCTGGCTGCCACTGTCAGGGCACAGCAGCCAGGCCAAAGAGCAGTGAGAGTGCCCACGCCAGAACCTCCTAAACCCGCCCTAGTGATAGAAGTGACGCTAGAGCTGCCAAACGGACACCCTCTAAAGATAAAGGCGCTGTTGGACTCAGGCAGCTCCTGCAATTTCATGAGCAAAGAGTTTGCAGCTGAACACCAGATACAGACAATCCTTTAAGCAGCCCCCTGCAGGTAACCACGATCGATGGCAGGGAGCTGTTGGGTGGCGAAGTCAGCTTGCAGACCGTCCCAATGATAATGAAGGTAGCAAGGCACACCGAACTGATAGCTTTTAATGTGGCCACCTTGGGAGGAGCTCCCATTATATTGGGGATGAGCTGGCTAGCGTTACATGATCCGCTGGTGGGCTGGCATCAGAGAGTGGTTTCTTTTGGTTCAGCACATTGCTTAGAACACTGCAAAGAGGGAAAAGGTTTGGCAGGGGTCCAAGCCACCCTAGCAGGGACTGAAGTAACAGAGAACGTGAAGGTACCACGACAATATGCAGATCTCCGTGACGTCTTCAGCGAAAGGGAAGCTGACCAACTACCCCGCATAGACCCTTTGACTGTCAAATCAACTTACTCCCTGGAGCACAGCTCCCTGTAGGCAAGCTGTACGCCATGTCAGACAGAGAGATGCAGGAGTTAAGAGAGTTCATTGACAAGAACCTGAAGAGAGGGTTCATCAGAGAGTCCAGGGCGGTGGGGGCAGCCCAGTGTTTTTGTGGATAAGAAAACACGAACAAGCCGAGGCTGGTGTGTGACTTCAGGGCCTTAAATGCAGTGTCAGAACCAGTAGCCTTCCCTATGCCCAGGATTGACGACATTTTGACAAGGGTGCGGAAGGGAAAGATTTTTACAAAGCTGGACCTAAGGGGGGCGTACAACCTGGTACGAATAAGGAAGGGGGATGAATGGAAAACCACTATGTTCACCCCTTTAGGGCATTTGAATATTTGGTTATGCCCTTCGGCCTACAAGCAGGCTCCGCAACATTTCAATCGTTTATGAACCACGTCCTGGGGCCTTTGCTTTACAAGAATTGTGTGGCCTTTTTAGACGACGTGTTGGTGTATTCTGAGAATGAGGAGCAGCATGTGAGAGACGTCAGAGAAGTGTTGAGCAGGCTGCAAGCCAACCAGCTGTGGGTGAAACTGGAGAAGTGTCAGTTTCATACCAAGGAGGTGGAATTCCTGGGGTATCGCCTGTCAGACAAGGGATTGGCCATGGATCCCGGCAAGGTCCAGGCAGTACTGGAATGGAAAACACCCAAAACAAAGAAGGATGTGCAGAGGTTCCTAGGATTTGGGAACTTCTATCGTAAGTTCATCCGAAACTTTGCCCACCTGACGGCGCCCATTACGGACTGTCTCAGCAGTAAGAAGAAGTTCGTGTGGACTGAGGAGGCGGAGCGAGCATTTGAGGAACTAAAAGGGCCTTCGCCTCGGAACAACAACTCCTGCATGTGGATTTACAAAAACCGATGAGAGTGGAAACTGACGCATCAGACAGAGCGATTGGGGCGGTGCTTCTGCAGCCAGGCAAGAAGGGGTCAGAGTGGAGACCGTGTGCCATTTCGCGAAAGCTGAACAAATCCGAGAGGAACTACACGGTGTATGACCGAGAACTACTAGCCATTCATGAGGCGTTCCGGAGATGGAGGCACCTGCTAATTGGCGCACAACATAAGGTGCAAGTGTGCACTGACCACAAGAACCTAGAGTATTGGAGGACGGCACGAGTGCTCAACCAACGGCAAGTGAGATGGGCCCAGGAGTTCTCCAAATTTAACTTTGAGATTAGTTACGTGCCAGGCCCAGAGAACATTAGGGCGGACGCTCTCTCACGCAAACCTGAATATTTGGAAGGGAGGGGGCACCCGAAGAGAGACATGTCATTCCAGAAGACCGCTGGGTGTGTGGGGCGGCATTGGTGGGACAAAGAGAACTGGTAGAGGAAACAGAGAATGATGAATACGCCCAGAATAAGCTCAGAGGTCTTAGGGGTGATGGAGAGGAACCAGGGGGTTTCGAGGAAAGAAATGGAGCTTTGTATTACAAAGGGGCACTGTATATCCCTGAAGGAGAGTTAAGGGGAGGGTACTCAAGCAGTTGCACGACAGCCCTACGGCGGGGCATTTTGGACAACACAAAACCATGTGGTTGGTCACCAGGGAATTTTGGTGGCCTAAGGTGAGGGAAGATGTACGTGAGTATGTAAGAGGGTGCGAGCAATGCCAGCGAGCCAAAGGGGAAAGGCGGGCGCCGGCGGGGCTATTAGAACCCTTACCAACCCCAGAACGACCTTGGGAGGCAGTGTCGATAGATTTTATGACTGATCTGCCGAAGTCCAAAGGGAAAACAGCCATCATGGTGGTGGTAGACCTACTAACAAAGATGTGCCACTTTGTAGCTTGCTCGCATGCAGTCACGGCGGAAGAGACAGCGAAGTTATTTGTAGAAAACATTTTTAGGTTGCACGGGGTGCCATTGAGGGTGGTCTCAGACCGAGGAAAACAATTTACTTCCAGGTTCTGGAGGAAGCTCATGAGCTTACTGCAGGTGGAGGTCAATTCTTCGACTGCCCGGCACCCTGAAACCAACGGGCAGGCGGAAAGAGCAAACGGTGTCCTCCAGCAATACCTGAGGTGTTATGTCAATGACAGAGAGAATGACTGGGTAGAAAAGTTGGCGCTGGCGGAATTTGCCTACAACAATGCCGAGAATGTGTCCACAGGGATGAGCCCCTTCTTGGCTAATTATGGGTGTCATCCCAGGGCTTTCCCAGGGGGAGAGGGGGAGAGATGGAGCGTCCCGGCAGCCGAACATTTTGTGGAAGAAATGGAAGCAATCCATCGTCAGCTCCAACTCAACTTAGAAAGGGCGAAGGAAGAATACAAGAGGCAGGCAGACAAGAACCGAAGGGAAGGTGAAACCATAAGGGTGGGAGATAGGGTGTGGCTGTCAACCCAAGGGCTGCCGCTCAAAGGAGGTTGTAAGAAATTAAGACCCAGGAGGTTGGGTCCCTTTGAGGTCATTCAACAGGTCAACCCAGTGGCTTTCAGGCTCCGGTTACCCAACCACATGAAACTGCACCCAGTATTTCACAGGTCGTTACTGTCACCGTACGAAGGGGGACGAGAAGGGCTGGCCACTCGGGACCGGGTCGTAGAAGAAAGAGAATGCAGCAGCCATGTGGCTGAAATCCTCGACGCCAGGTGGAAGGGGGATCAGGTGGAGTATTTGGTAGCGTGGGAAGGAGAACCGGAGTCAGAAAACACTTGGGTAATGGCTGAAGATATCAATGACGAGGTATTGATAGAAACGTTCCATCAAAGGTTCCCAAGGAAACCTCAGCCTGTGGAGAGGTTCCGGAGGGAATACTTTGGGACCACTGATGAAGGGGAGGAGTTGGAAGGATTCCCGGACTCGGAAGGGGAAGGGGAGATGGACTCTGAGGAGGAGGTGTACTTCGAGACCAGGAATCGCAACAGGTTGAGAGAAGTGTTCGAGACATCGGAAGATGAAGGAAGTTCATTCAGGGGTTTTGCCTCCTCACCGCCCGTAGAGGAGGGGGCGAGAGGGGGTGAAGGGGGCCCTGGAGGGGAGGTGGATGTCAGGGAACTGCCATCGGACGGAAGGGAGGTGAAAGGGCTCACACAGGTTGGGAGAGACGCAGCAGCTGAAGAGGGAACCAACAGGGAGGTGAAAGGGCTCACACAGGTTGGGAGAGACGCAGCAGCTGAAGAAGGAACCAGCAGGGGGAGAGGAGCTGAGCTGGAGGGATGGCTCAGAGACACTTCCAGCGAAAACAGTGGGGAGGTTTCAGAACCTCCTGTAAGAACACCCACTCCTCGCCGGAAACTGTCACGCAGAGATTCCAGAAGACGTGTTTCCGTTAAGGAGCTTTTATGTTGGAAGCGATTACGAAAGCAACCACTGTCGGAATCTGCTAGTGACTAGAGCAGCCATGTCTGAGGGGCTCCGTCACAGACAGAGGTTTGTGGACTTGAACAAACTCTGAGGGGATACGATTTTACGCACAAGCAGCTCATCATCCCATCACAACAGTGATCAGTAAACACAACAAAACGACAACCCACCTAGCCACCCACAAACATAATATTTTATTTGTGTGTGTTTCAATACATAATAGGTACTAGGCAACAGAAGTATGAAAAGTTACTTGAACCAAAGTAATAGGTAAGTTGATGTGAATGTCCAACAAGCCATTAGTTGAAGGAGAGGCTTGTCTCTTCAGCAGTGGGAGCTGCTGCACTGAATGAACACAATAGAAACACAATAGAACAGTCATGTAGTACCTCTCCTTCCATCACACACATCTGAATTCTACTTAGAGTGTATTGTAAATTTATGACAGGTCTACCACACTGTCAAATGCTGTCACTGTGACAAATGCCACCCATTCCTTGTTTCTGTCTGCTTCGTTTATCCATTGTCACGGACAGATTGGGGAAACATTTGATCTGTTTCCACTAACAAATCTTAATTCACTACTTGCATCACTTTGAAAATGGAACTGAAGCAGGGTAAGGAAATAATGGCACACGGCCATAGTAATCTCACTGAAACAGAGCTTGGGACTTTTCTTTAAAGGAAAGGTGGGATATAAATGTTGTAAATAAAAAGAAAGAGGACACTTCTTGCTAGAGCTTTGCATGCAGAAAAGTCAACTGGACTACTGAGAAACTGTGTGGGACACTATAAAAGTCTGGAATCTCCTACTGACTTGTCTTCTGTCATCAGTAACTTTTGTATGTGCAAAGGGGGGAATTTTAAAGGTCCTTGGGCCCTCTTAAAATTTTAGAGCCCTGAAGAGTTCTAACTGAAAGTTGACCTCATTAGATTTATAAGAAAGCAAAAAAGACGTCACTTGGAGGTTATCCACAGTAGGAAAAGAACTGCAAGTTTCAGACATTCATACATGGCCACAAATAAAAGAAAGTTCAATCAAATGCATCATGACTTGCACAACCCTTACTTTGGGTTTGTCATTTACTAGGACTAGCACTGCAATAAACATTCCTTGACTATAGAAAAACAGCAACACAGACCAATGCTAGCTAATTCATGACACACTTTGCACATAAAACGGTAAAGATTTATCTGCTTGTAGAATATTCTTAAAGATAATTGTCATGACAATGTACACGAAACAGAATTTGGACATCTACAGCATACCTGCTGTCTGTTTGTGGTACTTCAGATGTCTTGTAGATGACTTGCTCAGATGCACAGACTGAGCTATGTGGCATTGGTCGCATGTGATATAACTCAGAGCAAACTTAAACCAGCACCCAAGCCTAAAGTGAGGATTGCAGCTGAAAAGCTTATTCTCTGCTCTGGTTTAAAAAGAACAATACACTTGCCTGAGTATAAATGGAGAAGGTGCTTTGCTAAGGTCCCCAGTCTTAAACTGGAGATACTTATGCAGTATAATTCAACTGTAGGCTATTTAAAATAGTACACCTTGCAGGGCGCACTTCAGGGACCTCACAAAGCAGTTATGAAATAGTTTTCTTGAAATCTTAGCATCACGATCAGGCAGTTCAATACACATCTTCTTTGGAGTGTGAAAAATGACCACATAGTACTGAATGCACTGGCTTAGGATGGGATCAACATATGCCCAGGAGGTGAAAGCACAAAAAGCAATTGGCTAAACATTAGACAATACCTCATACAGTGACTTAACTTATTTACACTGCAAATGATACAACTCTGTACATGATTGCCATATTGGATTGGTTTAAGAATGACAACACGTCCAGTCTACTGGTTTTATGCTCTTTTAGCCAAGGTTTGCAGACAAGCTCTTTCCCTAAGGACAAAAGAATTATCTAAACAAGCATTTTTGATAGCTTACAGATTTCCTAACCTAGTACATTAGGCTTCAGTTTATGGGTCTCACTCTTAACTAAAGTGGGTTGCAGCAGTAGCATCATTCCTATTTTGACATAAAAGGGGGGGGGGAGGCAGAAAGGTGCTAGATACAATGGGGCAGAGAACTGCTTCTTGGGCAAAAGAGGGAATTCTGGTAGGTGTGATATTTTGATCACAGGGCCCAAAATTTCCTCTTCTGCACTCAGCTCAAAAAATCAAAAGTGGTTCCTAGCATCGTGGGTTGAGGTTATAGGTAAATCCCAGAAGCATGCTCACAGTATGTATTGCTCATCTTCTCTTTACTACTTTTTGAAATTGACAAGTAGCAAACCAGGACAGTTTTTCTCTATTTGCTTTACACAGGTTACACATTAACAAACTGCAACTGATGTCACTGTGGTTACATCAATGCAAGGCACTTGGCACGCTAACACAGATGCGTCTATCTTCAGAACTGGGATGCTTTTGTGATAACACTGCTTAGACTGCAAGCAGCCCCCACTTGGTTTCCCCCCATTCCCCCTCTCAGTGTGGCCCCCACCTCACATTCCAGGCCTTCCCCAAGCGTCTCCCAACCCTCAGGACAGGCTTTTTGTGGCATGCAAAAGGCTGCAATGAGAAGGAAGGAGCAGAGAAATGCCCTTGGGCAAGTGCTCTTCTGCAAACGCTGCACTGGATACAATTCACAGTGTTTTGTTTTGCCATAGTAAGATGTTTTTTAATAAAAAAAGAAAAAAGTGCATGCCAAAATGTTGAGGAAAAAAATAATTAGTTATTTCCTAGCAGTGGTTTTGGGTTTTGTTTTGTTTTTTGCACCATATCCCCATACAGACACAAGACTGTTGGAAAATAATTTTGCTTCACTTCAACTCTCTGCTAATTCAATTTGTCCTGTTTTTATCATATATAATGGAAAGAGACTATGAACGTGCAAAAAAGAAAGTTCATAATTTACTTTGAAAATTGTTTGTTATGTCTAGACAGATTTCCTGCGCATGAATAAAATGAGTAATCTATATATAAAAAAAATAAACTAAGCAATGGAATTAAAGTAATTTTGCATCTGCACAACTGAACAGAAATATGCTAAAGGGCTACAGAATATAAGAAGACCAAGAATGCCACACTGGACCAGTATCTTACAGCGTTTGTAGGGTTTGCATCATACAAGCTTCCAATTCCATGTTAATGTTAGTTAGAAGAACAACAACAGGATACACTACTGAGGTGCGCTGCTCACTCAGACATCTTTGGTATTCAAACGGAGGTAAAAAAAACCATATCAAGCAAGCTGCATACTAAATGCTCAGCAAAGGTGCTGCCAGAATTTGACTTTCACTCAGTTCACTTGTATGCCTCAAGAGGAAATGTAATCAGACAAACCCTTGGGGGGGGGTTATTCTCGCCTCCACATCAGATCCTGGACCACAGATTTTAGGGGGGGGCAGGATGCTCCATTATAGTTTTTCCTATTCTAGATCTTTTCCCGGACAAGTGAACAGAGGAAAAAGTACAGTGCTACCTCAGGTTAAGTACTTAATTCATTCCGGAGGTCCGTACTTAACCTGAAACTGTTCTTCACCTGAAGCACCACTTTAGCTAATGGGGCCTCCTGCTGCTGCAGCGCCGCAGGAGCACAATTTCTGTTCTCATCCTGAAGCAAAGTACTTAACCTGAAGCACCATTTCTGGGTTAGCGGAGTCTGTAACCTGAAGCGTATGTAACCCGAGGTACCACTGTATTCAGCTTTACTAGTAGAGAATGAGGAAGTGGACTGCAATAAAAAACCATGCGGCAAATTCGACGGTCAACTCTGCCAGTGGGGGGGGGGTCACTTTTCAGGGAATAAAAAACACAGGTTTCAAGAGCTGATATCAGTATTTGAGTAATGCTGTGATATATAAAGTTTTGTGGTACCAGTTGTGCTTGCAATCATTTGCGGGGGGTGGCAGCAGAACTCTTATTACAGCAATACATTCAAATGAGTTTGTTTGTTTCAACTGCATTTTAAAGATGGTGCAACAAACATATTAACTATGCTACAGCTTCATGCAACAATCACCCTCAATCACTAGTTCTAGCTGACTTCGAGGGTTGCATCATTTCAATAATGACAGATAAATGTTTCTGCAGTGATGCACAACTGGCCATCACGTATGAACAAAGGCAAGCAAGCCATATTTCAAAAACTGAAAATAGATTATATATTCCAAGCAGTACCCCCTCCCCCAAAAAACCTTTTCCAGTGCTTGCAGTTTTTGCATTTGTGACTATCTACATTTCTCCCCCCTTTCATTTATGGTTTACCTGAGAGGTAAGTTACAAACTGCCAATGCATCACTTGAACTCTGCAAATCAGCTATCAAAATTATGACGAAGATGCTGAAAACTCTGTGTGTTGCGGGTGGGAATTAATTAAAAAGCAAAACAGAAAAAAGCAAGCATCAATGGGAGCTTTTTATCTTGGAAACGATGTGCACATTGCATCTGACCAAATATGGAATACAGCTGATCTAAACATTCTAACACCAGAAGTATCTGCGCAATCATTTTTGCTGTTAAGGTATCATCCAGCCAAGGTATACTTCATCTAAAATGAAATCCAAGTTTAAGATCTTCAATGGTTATATGTCAATATTTAAAGCTATCATTTCCCCTGTTACCACACACATATGCATGCAAACACTCCTTCAAATTTTTTTTTCTTTCAAGGCAGAAAAAACAAATACAGGATAGAAGAGCATCTGGTGTTGTGTGTGTGTGTGTTTGACGCAACACTTATTTACTTTATCCAGCTCCCTCACCACCGTTGGTTTCTTTTCTTTTTTGATGTAGTAATGATCATCTGCGAAATACATCTAGTGAGCCTACCAAAGCAAACTGAACAATATTCGCTACAACCTTTAAAACACAAGGGCCAAAAAAAACCTCTCAGTACACTCTCCAATATTCCAAAGAGAACTTTGAAGGGGGGAAAATGTGTGTGAACAGCAGACATTGATGTTCACACAAGCACACTGCATACAACTCAGCAGGCGGTATTTCTGTTTTTATTGGATTAAGCCCTGGCACAATGGAGTTTCAATGCCATAACTGCTTATTTCACTGTGTGCCAGCCTTGAAAACAGGTAAAGAGAAAATAAAGCCAGGCACATAAAAGAGAGAAAGCTGCACCCCATCTATTTTTTTTTAAGAGAGAGTCACAAAATAGAACGTTCTTAATTCTTCATTTCAAACTATATAATTTATAACCATGACACGAATAGGGAAGAAGCACAAAGGAGAAAATACAGAAACATAACTTTCCCAAGGTTCAGTTTGCAAGGACCTCACACAAAGTTTTTTTGTTGGTTTTCTTTTGCTTGCGACTCTTGCTAGAAACAGTATTATTTGCTAAAAATGCAAAAGCTGCCAAAAGCTATGGTCCATCTAAAGCAAACATGTTTAAGATGGAAACGGAGAGCCAGCACTGAAGAAAGGCAGAATAGAGTATACAAAATTTCTGTAAGGTTGCAGATGAGGTTGTTCTGTGCTGTTGCAAAGCTGAGCAAGTGTAACTGTAAACAGATTGTGTTCACAGATTGAGGATTTGAATTATATAAAATACATTAAGACAGTAAGAAAAGTAATCACATTTCAAGCTTTCTAATTAAACTACTTCCACCCCCCCTTCCCCGTCAAGTTATTGGGAATTCAACGCTAGTCTTGGTTCACATGCTAGAACAATGGGAAAATTTTCCGAATGGTTGAACGCTAACCCTGACAAGTGTGGAGAGCCAACTACAATACATTATATGGTAGCATAACCTGCCACCCACGATGCTGAGAGAACAGCTTTCAAACACATGCACTGAGCTGTAAAACCACAAAATCCCTTATTACATATTGTCTCTCTTACTTTAGGTGAAACATACCATCATTTCCCCCTCATTACAAATCTAAGGGACTTTTTTTTTTTTTTAAGCCACCATCTGTAAGCTAGCTTTCCAGTCAACTAAACTATCATTTTAGATATCAGGTGCAATTTTGATCATTGCTTTTTCAAAGAAGACAATCATCTCCCTGTGGCTTATAATGAATCCAAGCATGTCATCTTTTGAGGTTCTCGGAACTTATTTTTACAGCTATATTTTATTTAAAAATAGTTGTCTCCTGCTGTTCTTTTCCAAACCAAAGCAGTTTCTTTCCATGTGACATTTCACATCATTTAAGGAGACAAAATTACGTACTGGAGACTGTATTTTTGAGTACTTTTTTCTCAGAGGAAATAATGCATTATGCTTTTCCCCATCCCCCATTTTTTTTATAGTTTAAATAAAATCTTCTCATCACTGCTGTAACAGATTTAAAAGAGGGACCACAGTGACATTTTATATTTTAAAAACAGGAGCAGTCCATTTGCTGCAGTTGCTTTCTACCAGGACACAATGCTGATAGATTCACAGGAACATGCTCTTGAATATCCAGATGTACTGTTCTGTATATTGGCTCACTAATGCAAAAATCAGACATCACTACAGAATGACAAACATACTCCACCCTCATTACAACACAGTGTGGTTGGAAGCCAAACATTCTTGACTTTTCATCAGAAAAATAGGAGTTTACAACAAAAGCAAGGAAAATAGACAAACGGAGACATGGAGAAATATGTATACTAGCTAACTTAACAATTGCTTGGAAATCTAGCTCTAAGTGAAAAAACCAAGTTTTTTAGGTTTTTTTTAACACACACATGCCTATCAAAACAGCAAAACTCATTGAAATATTTAGCATGCTCACATTCAGTACATGATTTTCCAACCCTCTCCAATGACTGAATCATAGCATTCCAAGGTTCTTAGAGGATACTCCAATTTCTTATGGAATTTCTTCACTTACAATTTTGTTGGCAGGGGAAATTTTGTTTGCAAGTGTTTCTGTTATATAGTGACATGGTCAGTTAGTCCAGCAACCTATTGGCCATTCCGCCCATTAGCTTAGCGGATTGTTTGGTGGACCACATCCAGAACCCACAACAAAATGCAGCTCCCCTTATAGATTGGAGACCACTGGCTGTCCAGGGATATTGCTAATAATTCTAACCACAAGAACTAGCAATGAGCTCGCACCACGCTGAACCTGGAAGTGACCCCAAAAGTCACAATGGAACAAGGTGTTTGCAGGCTTTTCCAAAAGGGTGTTCCAATTATATGTGATTTAACGTAAGCATGTGGTGCCTCGGAACGTAATCCCCATGTAAATGGAGAGTTGCCTGTATTTCTTTTGCTTTGTAGACTATGAGCATGAACCATAAAGGACCTCTCATGTACACCTAAAAAAGTCCAATCCATTATTAAGCTTGGGAATTTTACATTGTAAACCATCAGGATTGCAACGATGTGATTTGGGGATATATTAGCACAGAAACTACTTTGGTTGCCCTGTATGATGACCTCTGTCGGGAGAGAGACAGAGGAAATGTGTTCCTGTTAATTCTTCTCAACCTGTCAGTGGCTATCAATAGCACTGTCCATGGCATCCTTCTGGAGCAGCTGTCTGAGTTAGTGGTGGGTGGCACTGCTTTACAGTGGTTCCAGTCCTGCTTGGATGGTCATTTCCAGAGGGTGATGCTTGGGGAGTGCTCTTTTGGCCCTGTGGAGCCTTCAATGTGGGGTTCCTCAGGGTTCCGTTTTATCCCCAATGCTGTTTAACATCTACATAAAACTGCTCAGTGGGGTTATCTGGAGCTTTGGAGTATGTTTTCAATAATACTGATGACACACAGCTCTACTACTTCTTTACATCTGCAGGTGTGGCAGTGGATGTGCTGGACTGCTGTCTTGCCTCGGTAATGGACTGGATGAGAGCCAACATTCCAAAGACTGATTATTCATTATTATTATTACTATTATTATTTATTAAATTTGTATACTGCCCTTCATCCAAAGATCACAGGGCAGTTCACAACGTAAAAATACAAAATGAGAACACAAAATACATAATAAAAAACAAACAAAACAATAACACCCCTCCCACAAACACATTTCAATCAGCCAAAGGCCTGGTTATAGAGAAACATTTTGTAGTGAAGGTGTCAAGTGAGGCTCTCTGGGGAGAGCATTCTATAAACAGGGAGCCACTGCAGAAAAGGCCAACTCTCATGTTGCCACCCTCCAGACTGCTCATGGAGGAGGCACATGAAGAAGGGCATCAGATGATGATCACAGGGTCCAGGTTGTTTCGAATGGGGAGAGGCAAACTGAGGCACGGTTAGTGGGAGGTTCCCTAGACAGGATGGATGGAAGGTTACCTGCTCTTGATGGGGTCACAAACGCTCTGAAGGAGCGGGTACATAGCTTGGGTGTACTCCTGGATCCATTGCTGTCACATCTAGAGAGGGATAGCTTAACTTCTTTTGTCAATGCTCTGGTAACCTCTAGACTAGATTACTGCAATGAGTTATACATGGGGCTGTGAAACGTTATTTGAGGTGCTGCCTCTGAAGACAATTTGGAAACTTCAGCTGGTGCAGAATTTGGATGCTGGATTTGACCTATAAAGCTTAAATGGCTCAGGACCACAGTACCTCTCCCCATATGAACTGACCTGGACCCTTTTAAATGTGTTTGTTGTGAGGAGAGGATTATTGGTTTTTGTTGTTGTTATGGTTATTGTTGCTGTTTCTGGTGCTGCTGTTATGATAGACATTATGTGTTTTCATTTTGTACTTTTATGCTGTAAAACACCCTGTGATCTTTGGGTAAAGGGAGGTATATAACTTAAATAAATAAATGAATAATAGTAACAACTTTCCAAAACAGCTTGTCATTTAACATGGAGAAGGGAGTAGCAATGTTGTTATTATAAAAGTAGATGTCAAAAGCCATCTGGGCACATTTAATTAGTTGCTGTTCTTTGGAACCATCCATATGCATCATGTATGTACACTTTCATTTTTACAGGAATTATGTGTTCCACAGTGCTCCTGCCGCCCCTGGGAATGTAGCCATGATTGAAAGCACCTGACAAATGGCCATGCTGGCTTGGGTTGCTGGCAGCGGAAGAATCAAGTGTCCAAATAGACACTTGTCACTCAACAAACAGGCACCATTAAAATTATTCACAAATTCTAATGCAATCAAACAATATACACACATGGAAAAGTCCTCAGTGTGTGATCATTGACTAACAGCCGCCATCCAGTTTAGAGAAGCTGCTCATCTGCTTATGAAGCAACAAATATTCCAGGGTGATAAATAGGGTAGCAACATGTCCTTCTGGCTATCACATCTTCCAAGGCTGGGGAAAGCATACCATGGTGCTATTTCTATTTTTTGATGTTACTGATGGTAAACTGAGATCTGTTTTCTTAGCTTCGGTGATGTTTTATTGTGAGTCTATTGAATTACTGTAACCCACCTAGATATATTTAGGTCAACAGAAGGTTATAAATACCTCAAATAAATAAATATCCAGCCACCTGCTTGTGCAAACAGGTCCTGCTTTTGGACTTCCCATGCTGACTGACCACTGCGAGAACAGAGGGGCTTTGGCCTGCTCCAGCAAGCTCCTCTTAAGTTCTCCTTGTCCTTTAACACTACCATATACTAGCTGGTCCAGTTTTAAAGGCATAGCTTAGTTATTTGGAATAATGTACTGGCAGAGGGCAAGGGCCATGACTGAGTAGACCAGGGGACCAGAAGAAGAAAATGTGGAGTTGCCTCCCAGTCGCTGATGAAACATCAGTACTTAACTAAGGAAATAGCAAGATGCAGAATGCTGCAAAATATGAGAAATATCTATGTGTTTTGGATCCTCACAAGAGAGCATATCACTCAGGAGGGGCAGAGTAACCCACCCCACCCAATTACGGTAAGTGATCAATTTGCTTTTGCGGGCTCTTTTAGGTATACGGCCTCATATATACACATATACAGACTACTAAACTAATGTTAGCTATGTGAGCCCTTAGTATGGTCTGGGCTATAAATCTATATAAATAAATAAAACTGGAAGAAGCCCCACTGAATCCCAACACTTCATGACTTTAAAACTAAATTGGCATGTCTTATAAAGAATCCAACTTCTATGAACCAATGATATGGTAAGAAAACATACGAAGACAGAGGCAGAATAAATGGGCTATAGCCCAGCCTGCCGTATGGTTGTTTGCTTTAACCCAGTCCATACAATCCATTTATGGTAGGTCTTTCAGCCTGATGGGGAGTTTTAAAAAGCAGCTGATGATATTGCATGGGGGATCGCTTATTTAGTTCCAGAACCCCAGCTAATACTATACAGTGGTACCTAGAGATGCGAACGGGATCCATTCCGCAGCCCTGTTTGCATCCTGAACGCAACGTAAGCTGCAACGGCGCGTCTGTGCGTGCGCAGGTCACGTTTTGCCGCTTACGCACATGTGCATGACGTCATTTTGAGCGTCTGAGCGTGCGGGAGTGGCGAAACCCGGAAGTAATGCGCTCTGTTACTTCTGGGTTGCCGCAGAGCGCAACTCGAGCGCACTCAACCCAAAGCACATTCAACCCGAGGTATGACTGTAGTTGCTATTTCTTAGATTTTTACCTGCTCTTCACCACAAGGTCCCACTATGAACAGTTCTCATGCATTCATTTAGGTGCATTTTACAGATCACAATATTTTTACAGAGAAAAACCTGACAAAAATAAACATGTTGCTAGACCCAGGATTAACAAACCCTCTAAGAACACTGATAAAGTTCTCCAGTGCTAATGCTACCACAGTATGGCAGGTTGAAAAAATAATTTATAGTGAAGCTGGCCCATAGGCCAAATTACTGTTTCTTCCCAAATGCTGACAGATTCACGGATACAATCTCAAAAAGTTGAAAAAATATAGTTCAAATGCAGTTTCCAGATATTCAAAGGACAGTAATATACGTATTTTGGTTCCCAAGTTTAAAAGTTTTCCAGATTAGAGTAGCTACTCCAGGAAAGGTAAACACACACTTCATATCAGGTGCAAAATCTCAGCTAACACTAAGAAGGCATTGTTTTATAACAGTCGAAAACAGAGAGGAAATACAGGACAACATCATGGGATTTTCATTATACACCATGAGCTGGGCAAGCATCCATGGAAAAATATTAAAAATTATTTAGTTGGATTTTCCATCCAGTTAATCAGCCTCAAAACAAGAGAATAACTGTACAAAGAACTGACGTTGCTTAAAATAACTTAAAATTACATTGGGTTGGGTAAGGAGCAATAAGGAAAGTAATATGACTTGTGACATGTTTTCTGTTTGGGGGTGTTGAATAGTGTAATAAGACAAAACCACTTTTCGTATAGATCACTGTTGCTCCATGAATTAAAACAACAACAACTATCAAACTACAAAAAGGAAACAAACATTTGGAGGTTGGGGGGGCAGGGGGAATAGTACTCCATAATAGCTTGGCAACAGTTGAGAAAGGCATCCTGGTTTATAATTTGTGTCTATGAGAACCTAAAATTGTCACTGAAGAATATTTTCAAAACTCTCTCACAAACACATCAAGGGTGGCCTGAAGAGCAGAAGCTTTCAAGTTTCTCGCCGAGCCCCTGAAAATTACCAAGGATACACGTAGAACTACATATCATTATAGAAGTATAATCGTTTACTACGAGTAGAGAGGGTGGTGGAGCATGACTCCAATTGCTAGTATTTAAAGCCAACAATGACATCTAGTGGACACTAAATGTAAAAAAGGAAGTACAGATAAGGAGGAGGATTTTTAATTTCATGCTGGAAGAAACGCTTTTGGAGGTGCAACAGCAACCTTCGCCTCCCCAGAGAAAGAAAACACCACAGTAATTGTGAGTGTTCCCTGCCCAATCCTGTTCTCTGCTATTTCCCTTATAGGCTGCCCTTTCTGTATTACCCCACCCCCATGATTCCAATCACTGTTTTTTTCTCCTTGTATTTGTAACAGGAGCTATCCTAGCCGATATGGGGTCACACAGTGAACAGGATGACATCACAATCCTACATAGCCCGACAGATTTCACTACATGACTGTATCATTAAATGCAAGCAAAGCTATTCAGAGTGAGGGCAATTCTTTCTGGAACAGGCAAGCGGCTGCTCCCAGCCGACCAGGAATCACTTCTTAAAACAGGATGGCCTAACACTGCAGAACCAACCAGTGTCATTGTCACTGAGGGCAAATACATTCAGAAGGATAGCAATGCCTCCTGAATATGTAATCTTTTTGCAGACAACAGAAGCAATCACTCACACACACACACACACACACACACACACACACACACACAAATCACCAATGGGTGAACTTTCTGAATGTTCATTTAAAGCAGCAAGTTTTACTTTTTTAAAAAAAGGTTGTTTTGTTTCCTTTCTTGACCCAGAGATTAAATTAAAACTCCCAGGATGCAACTGTGATGCTTCTTTAGATGAGACAGTTGTGACCAACTCACTGCAATTTGGAACTCAGCGCTTATGGAAGTTGTAGCTGGAGGGCACAAAGCTGGGGAAAGCTGACCTACCTTACATTATTTGACTTTGGGGAATAATTATACATAATGCTGTAATGCAGGTGGAGTGGAGGGATGAATTTGCATATGATGGAAAGGCAGGCACATTCCCACACATTTATGTGTCCTAAACCAAACTTGGTAAAGCTGATACCATCTGTGCTGGCTGGGGCTGATGGGATTTGTAGTCCAAAACTGCTAGAAGGTACCAGGTCGGTGAAGCCTGCTCTAAACCCTAAAGGTAAAGGTACCCTTGCCCATACGGGCCAGTCGTGACCGACTCTGGGGTTGCGTGCTCATCTCGCTTAAGAGGCTCTAAACCCTAGTTAATGCTATTTCTTTCAGCTCTGGCAATTTGTGTTAACTTTAAACTGAATAAAACATGAGAGGTTGCCCCACTGTCTCCTCAAGTGGGTCTTCTCAATGATAGAACCTCCCTCAGCTAATTTGTGAGATGGAGACAACACTGGCTTTTAAATACCTCTAAATAATTTATCTTTCTTTGCTAGATTCTAATTCTTTAACTTTTTAACTCTGTTTCATACACTGCTTAGTTTTATTTGAGATGTAGCCTTTTTACCTTGTTTCTGGAAAGCTTTTACTGAATGTCATGTAAAAAATAATAATCAAGCACCATAGACAGTGTATTCTCTGACTGAAAATAACTGGTCTGACAAAATGTTTTAAGGAGTAAAGCAAACCTACCCGGATTTCCTGCAGATTGTGGAAGTTGTTTCCTACCCTGACAGAGATCTTACTTGGAGTGTAGCTTTCATCTGATTTATAATCTGCATAAATGCACAGCGTTTTCACTGTTGTTTTCCTCCTGTAAGTAAAAATAATAATTAAAAATGGCAAAACTGAAGCCCTGTTAAGAATTATCCAATATATGTGTATGTGCTATTTATTTATTTATCAACGTATTTTTATAGTGCTGTTTCATAAGCAATCAGGACAGTGTTGAACAACAAAACATAAAACACTGTTAAAAAAAAAGATCATTGCTAGTAACTGGCTAATTAAACAGCTGCAAAGGCTCACTGGCATAGAAAGGTCTTCAAGAGCTGCCTACCAAATCTCTGGTGGAAGGGTGTTCCATAGCATCAGTCTGGCAACACTAAAGTAGAGGCCATTTCAGCCTCTGCAAAAAGGGGAAAAACTAATAGCACTCCTTCAGAGGATCTCACTGATCAATGTGGGACTTAAGGACTCAGACAGTCCTATACAGTATATATTTACTTAGTATGGAAAGTTCAACACTTAACTTATCATTGTCTATCTTAATTATTTTATTCTGAAACATTACAAGCCATTTTGGGAACATGCTTGAATGGTGGGTGAAAATCCCTAACACAAAAGACAGCTGACAGAAATGAATTGTTTCATACCAAGAACAATGTCTGTTATTTTATAATATACTTCTAAAGAGACTCGTTCAAGGGCCAGCTCTCGTATGCCTTCAATATGGCTGTGCTGACAGGAGGAAGGCACCAAAAGGGTCTTCCTCACTGGAAGAGTAAGCCCCACTGAATTTAAAAGGACTTTCTTCTGTGTAGACACGGTCACAATTGCGCTGCAAGGTTATCAGCACCAGCGTATGGAATGGCATGTTTAGGCCAATGTGCTCCAAGACCTTCAAGGTCATTCAGAACACTTTGGGTTAGGCACACAGCAGACATGGAAGTATGCAGACAGCTCTGCAGTTAAAGGATCGCTGGCTATCCTGATGTTCAGCCCCATAGAAAGCTTAACTCTCCTTGTATCATTTTTTATATTTATTTTTATTTAAACCCCTTTTTTCCCCCCTGACAGGGACTCAAATCAGCTTACAGATTTAAAAAAACAACAACTAAAAACATAGAAAAATAATAATTAAAAAACCCAGTAAACATGGACAGAAATAAAACCATACAAATAATTACAGTAAAAATAGCCAAATGCCTAATTATATGCATATAATCTGAGGATGGTGGAAGGGAGGGCCATTATGGGTAACTTGCACCTCTCAACTATTTTTCTTTCCAGGTAAGCATATGAATAATAAAGTGTGTCTTGTCTCTACACATGCAAAGGTAGATGGAGCTCAAAGTCAAGACAAACTTGCAGCAATATGAGAACAACTAAAGCCACTGAGAAAGGGAATCCATTGGATTCTGCGCTTATAGAAACTAATTTAGAACTATTATGCCTGAAACAAATTCAGATTTCCTCAATCATTATGTTTGACTTTTAGGCAGCAGTAGCTTTAAACAAGCCAAATATCCACTAACTATAATATTATGAAACCAAGCTACAGTAGACCTGGTTTCAAAAGTTATAACTTCTGACCATTTTACTACAAATCATGTTCGGGGATTAGCTATGATAAATAAAACAAAATAACACACTCCTTCTGCAGCCTCTATCTTTTGCCTTCTTCCAATGAAAGTAATAATAACAACTGCATAAAATCCAATATATATAATATTCATTACCTGAATTGAATGTTCACCAAATGAGGCTGTGATCCATCAGACTGCCAGTATGTTTCTAGATTATCATCTCGTAACTGATCTACACCGAATCCTAGTGTGAAAAAGTACATATGGGTTTCACCACTGCACTCCTATGATGGAGATGTCAGAAACATCATAGTACAGTGGAATCTCGGTTTTTTTAACGTAATCTGTTCTGGAAGACTGTTTGACTTCCGAAATGTTCAAAAACCGAAGCAGTTACTTCCAGGAGCATTTACTTATAGGAAACCTCAATATGGAAGCCACGTGGCACATTCAATTTCTAAGACGTTCGAAAACCGAGGTTCCACTCTAATATCATATATCCTAGGATCTAGGAGGCCCTGTTATGGTTCTGAACATGGGAACAAACTAATAATAGAGTACTGTCACCATAGTTATCCAGAAAACTCCACTAGCAATATTGGACAATTGGTACAGTTCCAAATTCCTCTATTTTTTTTCTTAGATCAAAAGGCCCTATAACGTAGAAAGGCAGATACACATTAGATAATTTAAATTGACACAGAAAATCACTCTGTCTAAGTAGTACTTGAGAAATTCAGGAGATATGAATAGTTTGTATGTGCACACTTTTCACTTACCTGGTTTACAAGAGGAAAGTGACCAAACAGCTTGTGATCCAATTTCTCGAACAGTTCCAGTTCTTTCCAGTTGCTTTGGATCTGCACCGGGTGGTGTCTTGTTAGCAGTGGTCATTTTTCACTAGGAAAAGGAGAAGTTACAAATGTGTTTAAAAAAATAATCCAGGTTCAAGACAAAGGAGAAGGAAGAACAATATTTTGAGAGTCACAAACACAGCAACTTTTGGTTGGCAGTGTAGACAGCCTCTTTGGCACATGCAAATAGCATATATGTAGTCAACTAATTAAATATGCCTGCACTTGATGCTAGCACAACAGATGGAACCTCTTTACTTTACTTAGATAGATGATAGATAGATAGATATACCGTCTTTTTCGCCCTATAGGACGCACTTTTTCCTCTCCAAAAATGAAGGGGAAATGTGTGTGCACCGACCCCTCTCGCTCTCCAGGCTTCAGGAAGCTATCCCCCCAGCCCGGCAAGCTCTCCGACCCGTTCTGGGGGCTGGGGTCGGGGAAGCCCGACCCCTGCCCCGCAAGTTCCGAGAGCGATGGGGAAGTTGCAAGCAGCTTCGCCATCGCTCTCCCACCCGTTCTGGGGGCTGGGGTTGGGGGAAGCTCGGGCTTCCCCCGCCCCCAGCCCTGCAAGCTCCGGGAGCGATGGCGAGGTTGTGCAACCTCGCCTTCGCTCCCGGACCCCCAGCCCCAAGGCTAAAAACGAAGCCAGGAAAGCGAGCGGGATCCATCCCGCTCGCTGTCATGGCTTCTTTGCTCTTTGGGGCTGGGGGGCGGAAATAAATTTTCCCCCCTTTATTCCCCCCCCCAAAAAAAAATAAGTGCGTCCTATGGGCCGATGCGTCCTATAGGGCGAAAAATACGGTGTATATATAAATATTTAATCACTCACCTGGTAGCCACAGACAACAAGGAATTGCATACAGGCTACTGAGTGGCTGCTGGACGAGGAAAAGAGAAACCTAACATATTGAAGAAGGCGCTACAGCATTTAGGACCACAATCCTCACCTTTAACATTTTGTATGGGGAAAGTCTAGGGATAAGTTGCATTTTATGTTGCAAACCACCCTGTGGTCTCTTGATGAAGGGCAGTATATAAATGCAATAATAATGATATATCATATTAATAAGGATATATTTCAGACTATGCATGGCCTAGTTGAGGCTAACCTTTGGCCCTCCATATGTTGCTGTACTCCCATCACCCCTGACCACCAGTCACATTGGTTGGGACTAATAGCAGTTAACAGACCAGCAGCTCTGGAAGGCCCCAGGTTAGCCACTCTTGGTCCAGTTATACAGTAGGGCTGCAAACCTACAGACACCTACAGAAGAGTAAGTTGAACTTTACTTCAGTATAAACATGCAATGGGATGAGGCTGCAAAAATATCTAGTCTGAACACTGTACAGAAAAGGAAACAAGACATATTAAGCTATCTGGACTAGTGGGAACAAAATCTGTGCAAAATATATTTAGAAAACCAACTTTGAAAGAATTGTATAATTGCATTTTTCCTTTTCAGAAGCCTATGTGGAATAGGGGACAGTTAGGACTTGGACCAGGGACAGCTAGGTTCAAATCCCCACTCAGGATGAAACTCAGCTGTGTGAACTTGGGCCATGAGTATCTCTCCATCCCACAAGCTTGTGGGGATAAAGTGAGAAAGCATCATAGATGCCCTAATTCTAAACTCCTTGGAATACAAATCAAAAGAATCAGCATTTTTTGACTCTCCTTTTTATTTTTCCTTCCATTTATTTTGCATGATTAATTAATCAATCATCAATTTAGCTGAAATATATCAAGATAATAAAAATAATGCATATTTAAGCTGTAATTAAAAGAGCAATTCCCAGATCAGACACCAGAAGGCAGTCTTTTCTGAACAAAATATCCACAAACTACTATCTTTTTTTGTTGTGGTCCTTCATCTGTTTAGCACAAGCAGTAAAAGAATTAAATTGTTCTTTGTGGATCTAGTCACAATAGAAACATAAAGAGCCATTATCAGGAATGAATTATAAAATAATTACACAACGGGAAAATTCAAAGAGACCTTTAAGTTGTATTAGTTACAGCTACTGGAATAGTTTCAAATTTATTAATAGCAATAACAATTTCCAGTGTGTCAGATCTGGTTTCCAAACAGTTTTCAAATTCTTCAAAATGTCAAGAATCTGTGGTTTGCAACCATGCACCAATTGCCTCATAGGAAGCAATTTTCCATTGTAATAACATGCTGCCTTCATGGTTGGAAAACAGAATTTTCATGCAGCACAAATGAAGAATGTTTCCCTAGACACAATTACAGAGCAAATATTCAGGAAGTCAGACATCATGGCACACTTTTTTCTGCGAGACAAACAATATAGGACATGGTGGTTAAGACTGTTTTTGCAATTAATAAAAGACCAGTTTTTGCAATTTCTGATCTTTCCTCTAGATAATCTAACCCATTCTTGTAAACAAGCCCACCAACAGAAGACGTGCAAAGGAAGTACAAAAATTTCCATCCCTCCTGTAGCAACCCACTGCATTTTTAAGCTGGGCTGGGAGAAAAGGGCATCCCTTCTCTGACAGCCCACGTGGTTCTATGCTAGATGGGACAAGTAATTCCATCCCTTTACTGCCAGCCTTTTCATTTGCCTGAATGCAATGCCTTGCTGCCTATGTGTTTTGGAGAGAAGGGAAGCATGGCCATTCCACCAGTTCTTCTGAGAGACCAGCCACTTTTGGCCCTTCCTAAACTGTTGCCTGGCAGCATTTCATATTGTTAATTTGCTTGAAACTATTATAGTTACATATGCCAGAACCTATTTTAAATTTTGAGTGCCGATACGCTGCAAAGAAGCCAAAATGACACAGTAATCAGACATAATGGTTACTAAAATAAGTTGTCAAATAGATGAATCCTAACGGACTATAAAATTTATACCAGTATTGGCTAAAAAACCAAGCATGGTCATTGACATCTGAATTGCTGAAGGCAAGAAGCAGGTGTTCTCTTCCCAGGGTATGCTACTGTTGCAGGATCTGACTACTGCCTCCTTTACTCCCCCAACAGTCTTCAGTTGAGGGAGATGAGTTGCTGCCAAGGCAAGTCCTAGGTGCTGCTGCCATCACTTCCTCCTCCTCTTCCTTTAGTTATTATTATCCTAGCTGGATCTCATTAACAGTGGCTGCTAGAGAAGGCCGAGTGGCTAGCTAGGCAATGAAGAGGTCTGCAAAACAACTGTATCAGATTCAACTCAGGCTGCCTGAGACTCCATCACAATGGACAACTAGGAGGCTGGGCATATTTTGATAGGATGTTATCTCACATCCCTCTCAGAGTAACAGGGAACATGTGCTAGGGTGCTGCAAAGCACAGCCTTCCATCTTCTTCTAAACAAGTAACACTGCTACTTTAACAGACTTAAACAGGCCTACCAAGCTGTTTTTGCTGTTGTCACATGAGCAGCCCTCATATGTGATGGTGGCTGTATGTGCCATGTGTATGCATGTGCTATGAATGAGAAGTTCCGAAACATGACAGTAAAGTGAACACATGTGCAAGTGTTCCGCATGCAACCTGCGATTTTTAAATCCACCTGGCATCTGCACTGGCCAGTTTCCTTGAAGTATTAGCATGTCAGTGGCACCAATAGCCAATGAATTTAATTGTGACATGGATGCCTGTGGAATGCCTACATGAGCAAGTACTTTGCCCACAGCCCTGCCTCTCACCCATTCCAGCCCTGAATCAGGTGCTGCCACATAGAAAGCCATCCTTCTAACAAAAGACATAAGGAGATGCTGTGCCCTTTGCAGGGTGTATTGTTTTCAGCGCACATATGCGCGGTAATAAACTTACCAGAAAAGTCAGATAACCCAGATTAGCTCCTGTGCCTCACTAACCCAAGTCAAGTCTCTGCCTACCATCTTCCTTCAGTTCAATGAACTAACAGAGCAACATCAAGACTCTGAGGTAAAGGCACATGACATTAGCTTCTTGGGTACACCCAGACAGGAAAGGGGTCGTGAAGGAAAGGTTGTCTGCTCATAAGCAAGGACACTTTCTCTCTTAGTCAAATCCTTCTGTTTTAAGAAGGTACCTCTTCTCTTTCTACACCCTGACTCGAAGCGTTCCCCTACACCTGCTGATCGGAAGGTTGGCAGTTCGAATCCACACAATGGAATGAGCTCCAGCTGCTCTGTCCCAGCTTCTGCCAACCTAGCAGTTTGATAGGATATCAGCACAAGTAGATAAATAGGTACTGCTGTGGCAGGAAGGTAAATGGCGTTTCCATGCGCTCTGGCTTCCATCACGGTCTCCCGCTGCGCTAGAAGCAGTTTAGTCATGCTGGCCACATGACCCACAAAGCTGTCTGTGGACAAACACCAGCTCCCTTGGCCTGAAAGCAAGATGAGCACCGCAACCCCATAGTCGCCTTTAACTGGACTTAACTGTCCAGGGATTCTTTACCTTTACCTTTACCTACACTTCATCTCTGTATCCCATGTCCTTTCTTTCTCTTTTTCTCCACTCATTTTTTTTCTCCTTTCTTGTCTCCCATTACATCTGGCTGCTGGATCTGTGTTTTATTGGGCGGGGGGAGAACCCGTTTCCCTCCATTGGCGAAGGGAGAGCGGCAGGTGGGCGAGGACGGGCGTCTCCATTGCTACCTTACCTGCTCCTGAATTTTAACGGCGCGCGATAAATATCCTAACTGATAGCGTTAGGGACCGAAACTCCTCTTGTAGGTATAAAGGGCACATATATTACAGGCGAAGGAGAGCGAGGATGCTGTTGAGGGACGCGGCTTTGCCTCAACAGACCCAGCAACAGCAGCGCTACTTACGCTTCCCGCGTCCGGCGCCGCCGCCAGCGGCTCCGTGGCCACGCCCCCTTCTCCGCCAACCCTCTTCCCTCCCGTCGGCTTCACAGACACCCCGTCGCTCAGCGATGGCGTCACGCGCAGAGTGTCCGCCTCGCCCTGCGCTTCCGGCGCTCTGACCCTTGTCTACGGCGGCGGCGCGTAGCTCGCCCACAGGCCGCATCTCTATGGTGAGCGGCGCCAGCTCCTCCTTTTAGGGTGGCGGCCATTTTGGCCGGGTGGCAGCCGGAGCACGTTGTCTCCGAGCCCAGCTGCGAGCCCCGGAGGGGGCCCTTCGCAGCTTCCCCGTTTCCCTCCGTCCCAGACGGGAGGCCTCCCCTTCTCCCCCCCCCCTTCGCTTCTTGGTAAGTAAAAGCTGCCGGAGGGCGATAACTTGGCGGCCACCCGCTCCTCCTCTGGGCAGGTGGGGCGGCTGGAGATAAGGCTGGCTGGGCCGCGCGGGTTCCCGGCCGGCGTCGGAGGAACACGCGGCGCCCCGCCGGCCTTTCCAGCTGCCGAGTAGGCAGGGCAGCCTCCAGCCTCTCGGGGTTCCTTCCTCCCCCTTTAGTTCTTCCCCATCTCCACGGGTTGTCGAGCCCCTTGGTTCTCCCCGACCCTCCATAATGATTTCGGATCTTTTTTTTCCACGTAGAGGCCTTTGTTTGGGGGCTGGGGGGTTTCCACGCTTTAGAAAGGGGAAATGGTTTTTTGTGGAGGGCTGGTTGGCTCCAGCTAAACAGACCCTCCTTGTGAGAAAGGTTGAAACAGTGGTCGACTGTCAAAAGGTGTTAAAATTACTCTCTTTTTTCCCCCTCTTGCATAAGCCGCTCAGGTAAGTTTGTCATAAGTCAAGACCCCGCATTGTTGGCTGTATCCTCCATCTGTTAATTTCAGTGTCGGTGGCCCTCCATACATATATACGTAAAGAGAGAGGGAGAGTTCCAGGCCCTTGGTTTTTAATCTTCTGTGCCCGGCATTTAAAGCACTGCTGTGGCATTTTAGCAGCCCTGACTTCCCACAAAGAATCTTGGGAGCTGTAGTTTTTTTCAGGGTGCGGAGAGTCCTTAGGAGACCCCATATTCCTCTGACAGAGCTAGGAAAGAGGAGTCACTTGTTAAACCACTCAGGAAAATGTAGCTCTATGAGCGAACAAGCATTTTGTAACAACTTTCAGTATCCATAGCAAACTACGGTTCCCCTGATTATTTAAGGGAAGCCATGACTGCTGAAGTTTTATAGTACTTTAAATGTATGGTGCGGCAGTAGTATTGACATGAGTAGACTAGTGTCTCTTTTTAACAAAATTAGTTGAGATGGAGAAATTGGTCTTCTACTGGTAAATTTGACATGTTGGAGTTTTGCTGCTGTCTAAAGTTGCTAGAAGGCTATTTATTACATAAAATCATACAATTGTAGGGTTGGAAGGTACCATAAAAATGTGCACTTTCTTTATCCCCCCTGCATTAAGTAATGGCTTAGTTAAGGATGGTCCCTCTATGTTAGTGGTGTCCAGACTTTTTTCAAAAAGGGCCAGATTTGGTGAAGTGAAGGGCTGTGAGGACTGACCAAAGTTGTTGAGGTTTTTTTAGGATTTTACCCCAGGAAATAAACTGCCACAAGGACCAGATTAAACTGACCAGTGCGGACATGCTTGCTCTGTGGTTTTCCATTGTGGATTTTAGGATGATTAGTTGAACTCTGTGTACATATAGGGATGTAGGAGTTGCCTTTTTAAAGTTAAAATAGGTGTGTTCGTCTGTTGTAGCCAAAGTGAGAGAGATAAGGTACCTTAAAGGTTAACCATTTTTATTGCTAACAGCTGCTTAAAAATATTCTCACTCATGTTTGTTCAGTCACATCAGGCAGTTCTGAAGGACCTAGAAGTCAGAAAGCATTGAGAATTATATCATTTCTTATGACAACAATTATGGAAAGTGGTCTCCTACGAAAAATGCTGTACCAAAATAGAAATCCCAACTGAGGTACAAAAACAGGATCTCTGCACTGGGGAGAACTTGGCTTATAGCTGAAGCTTTTCTTCCTTTTCCTGTGTCAGCAGTTCTCTTTGCCAGAAAGACCAGCTTCTTAAATAGCTTATTATTATTGCTATATCAAAGCTCTCACAGCATATTTCACTCTCTCACAGCATATGCTAGTCACTTCTCTCTTTCCTGGCCCTCATGAGGAAAAACCAATATCTTTAAATGAAAAGAGAGGGTGGAGATTACAGAGGGAGAAAGTGGGCTTTATTTGCATTCCTACAGGGTGGAGCTTTTTGGTCTAACTACTGGCCAAGTATAACATCAAGTAGAATACCAGCAAACATGACCCCTGTTCAGAATTAACATAATTTGATGCCTGCAGCTGGGGGCTCCTGAGGGGCGTGGGCCCAAGCGAAGCCTCCGGCGCCAGATTCCTCTCCCAGGTGCCACTTGTGGCCACCACCTACCCTCCTCTGCTTCGCCCACTGGGCTCCTGGCAGCTGCTCATCTCAGCCTGGCCCGGGCAGCCAAGATGCAAGTGAGCCAGCTACAGGGTTGGAGGTGGCCCTGTGGGTGGCCCACAGAAAACTCAGAACACAGTGCCGGGAAAGCAAGGCCTTCCCATGGATATGACAAACTATTAAAACTCTTGGACAATTCCTAATTTTCTCTCAATGGCAAGGATTGGTCTGGCACCAGTTTGGGGCTACTTGATTGTTGATTGTTAAAGAAAATTTCAGTATTGCATTGGGTGTATTTACTCTGGCTGGAATAACAGATTTGTTGGATGGCTTTATTGTACGAAACTGGGCCAACCAAAAATCTGCTTTAGGAAGTGCCCTGGACCCTCTGGCTGATAAAGTTGTTATCAGTGTCCTGTACATTAGCCTAACTTGTGCAAATCTTATTCCAGGTCCTCTTACATCTATGATCATTTTAAGGGACATTGCATTAATTGCTGCTGTTTTTTATGTGCAATACGGAACTGTTCCTCCACTAAGAACACTTAGATATTTTAATCCATGTTATGCCACTGCTCAGTTAAAGCCAACATTTATCAGCAAGATGAACACAGTAGTACAGCTCATCTTAGTGGCAGCTTCTTTAGCAGCTCCTGTTTTCAGTTATGTGGACAGTATCTTCAGACCTTATGGTGCATCACAGCTTTCACAGTGACAGCATCTGCTTACAGTTATTAACTGGCCGAAAAACAGTTTAGGTGCTAAACAGCAACTGAAGGATCTCAAGTGAGTTGCTGACTTCCTATTTGGTTTGTGTTGGGATGGCATTGCCTGCATAATATTTGGACTATGGATAAAGAACACTTCTTTTGATAGCTTTGTCTCAGTGGAAACCATGTCTTCACATTGAAGCTAATCAGAAGTTAAAATGAAGTTTTGATCATGTAAATGTGCATAATTTTCAATGCACTTTTTCAATTTGTTGCAAATAAAATATGTTTTACCTTAATGCAATTTAAAAAAAAAGAATTACAGTAACATAATTGAAGTAAGTGTTTTTCTGCCACACTGAGGCATTTGCTGTGTAGGTAGAAGGTTGGGTTGTCTGTTTTAAAGGCAAGTCTATTATGTATGTAATATGATGAGGATGGCCAACTTTGTTGTAAAGTGACCAACTGTAAAGTGACCATTCTGTTTTCCAGACTGTGGTCCAAGGTATTCTGCTGTGCAAACAGCTTTATTATAGAGCCTACCTGGCAATAAGAATTTTCCAGTAATAGAGAACATGCACTGGGCTGTAGCATTCTGTACAAAGAACACTTTAATGTATTTACATGAAGGATGTGAGAGAAGGAGAATAAGATAGAATATCTTTGTTTATCTGAAAACATTTATCTGAAAGTTTAGGCAGACCTCTAAAACTCCTTATTCCTCTCTGGCTCAGAAGTGTGCTCTTCAGTGATATTTCTTATTTTTTCATGAAATAGTCATTGTCCCATTGTGATTCTATTCCTTAATTTCCTTTCTCTCTGTCTTTCTAATCTTCCATCCTATTTCATTGTTGTATTATTCAGCCATGTGTTATATTCGTGGTATGTCCTATTGTCATGTCTGGTCTGTTATGTTTTTGATTATGTAACTACTTCTGTAAAGAGCTTACTCAAAAAGATCTGTATAAGTATTCATATTCTATTGTTATGCTGAACATACTTAAAGACGTATCCCCTTATCTCGGCAGTTACTGTTCTGCAGAGTGTACTTTCATGGTATTACCATTTCAATATCTGGTTGGGCCCAATTTCTAAAGCATTTTTTAAATAAAAGATTTCCCTAGAAAATTGTCTATTCTGCTCACCTAGTTATTGTAATACCTGATTTTCAGGACAGTACACTTGCAGCTAAAGATCATGGCACTAGAAGCATGCTAGTATTCGATTTACCTTATAATTTTGTAGCGTCCAACTCAGAGGTAGGAAGCATAGTTGTCAGAGATAATGAGGCAGTTTTGCAGGAGGCAAAAGCATGATGTTCTTGAAGGCAGCATGTTCCCAGTCATCTTGCTGTTAAGTCCTTACCAGTTCAAGTGTTAATGTAAATTTGGTTATACATGAAACTGAATTTATCAATCCATGGTAGTAAAGAAGCTTGTAATATTGATGGGTGGAGTTGACTTGTTTCCATTGCTAGGAGATAATGCTTTTGTCATTCAGTATGTGCCACTAGTTTTTCACAGCATCAAAATGACCCACCAATTACCACAATGAATTTTTAAAGTGGAGACTAAATCATGAATTTAAAAAGTAAGAGACCTCTTTATGTTTCCTTGGATAAAAATACTTTCCAGAAATAATTTGTCACTTTGCAAGAAGTAGTAATTAGAAGTATGTGTATATATCTATATTGTAATTGCTTTGAGGGTTTTTTACAGTCAAGCAGTATGTGCATTTTAGCGTGTGTATGTATATATACACACACAGTTCATCAGCTCTGCAGGTTGGTTTTGATATATTTTCTTGACACTTTGTTGAATGTAAGTTGAAGTATTGAAATATGGCAGGATAGGTCCTATCTTTGAAATATGCATAAGGAAGGTAACCAGATTTTTCTCTTTCATTGCATTTCTCAGTCTCTGTAGTTTTCCATATAAAAACTGGTATTTCTTCCTTGTCTGTCACAACCAGCTGAATAAATATTGGGAACCTGAGCAGGTTGGGAATCCCTGACCCTCCAAATGCTGTTGGGAGTCTTAACTCTCATTACCGCTGACTATTTCTCATTCTGGCTGGGGCAGGTGTGAGTTGGAGGGCAACACATTCCCAGTTTCTAGACGTTGCCCACAATGATTGCCTTTCAGAATGAGAACCCATGCCTAAGTTTAATGAACATGCTTGATCTTGGACTGCACTTCTTATATCATTATATAGCATACTCCAATCCTGTGCTTTCTCACTTTTTATTAATCATTCTGTTTGTTTCCACCTAGAACTTGAATTATCCAATTCCATTGTTTTGGAATCTCAAGTCTGTGTTATCTACGTAATTCTGAGTTCATCACAATGGCTGATAAGCTAACAAGAATTGCTATTGTGAGCCATGACAAGTGTAAGCCAAAGAAATGCCGCCAAGAGTGCAAAAAGAGCTGTCCTGTGGTTCGAATGGGTAAGGAACTCAAAACTCTGTGTTAAAATTAAAACAGGCTGAATGTTTCACTTACTGGTTTCTAGACTACAGAGTCAGATTTTTAAGTATCCAGCGTATCCGCCATCTTCAGTAGTTTTTTTTATTTTTGAATGTGTATGAAAGTACAGTATCATAATAAGAATATGGAGAATTTGGGGCAATCAGAACCATGAAAACTGCATCATGTGGAATTCAATTTCATGACTATTTGAGGTCTAAGTCACAAATTGATGCTACTGCCTGGTTTCTAGATCACATTCCATACTAATGCTTTCAATAAGACCTGCGTGTCTAACCTTTTTAATATTCCTTTTCACCAGGGAAGCTGTGCATAGAAGTGACATCACAGTGCAAAATAGCATGGATTTCTGAAACATTGTGCATTGGTTGTGGTATTTGCATAAAGGTAAAGATTATGTCTAGTAATAATAATTGAAATCTGTTTAAAACGTATGTCACAGTAGAGTTGTTTGGACATGGGTGATCTCATCTTCTCCCCATCCCACCTCCATACATTGAGAATTTTGGGCTTGTGTGCTTCGTCACCGCACGTCCCCTGCCTCCCAGACATTCAAATAAACATGGCCAGTGACGTGTTCATGGTCTACTTTGCATGTACCGTTGTAAACTCTGAAAACCCCACTGTGGCCTGGTTCACACAGTACATTAAACCATAGTTTAAAATAAACTGGTTTAATGAGAACAAGTGATGTGCTGGTAAATGTTGCTGAAATAACATGCTTTGCTGCTCTCACCCGCCCACTGTGCTGTTGGAAAATAGGTTGTGGTCTCGCTTGTCTCCCCCCCCCCCCTTTTTGGGGGGTCTCCTGACAAAGTTCAAGAGGGAAACCAAGGTTTCTTCTCTGTTTGCATCTCATGGTTTGTATGTAAGTCTAGGTTCAGATGGCAAATCAGACCATGGCTTGTTTCCTGACAACACAGTAGGATAGGGGCAACATATACAAGTGAAAAACAGTCTTATTCCAATTCTATACTTGGCTTCTGTTTTGTTTATTTGTTGAAACGTAAAGCTTATTTTATTTGTGTTACAGAAATGTCCTTTTGGAGCCTTGTCCATTGTTAACTTGCCTAGCAACCTGGAGAAAGAAACAACACACAGATACTGTGCCAATGCCTTCAAACTTCACAGGTATCACTCTGCTACAATCCCTGAAAAGTTGTTAATATAAATTATTGTCATTATTTGTTAATCACCTTCCACTTTCCTTCAAGGCAATGTGCAAAATAAAATAATAACAGCAGTTAAAAAGTTAACGGGGGGAAAACCAGGATTTGAATTTTAAACAATACAGAATGGACACCCATGGCAGAGATTTATTCATCCAGCTGGTAAAGCTTGTCACACACACAAAAAATGTATTCAGTTGTTTCTAGAAAGTGCAGATATTGGGTGTCTGTCATATTTTGACAGGAATGCTGTTCCACAGAATGGGGCAGTCACACTGAAAGCTGTAGTCAAAATCACTGGAGTAGGCTTCTGATATTTGGGGACTTTGAGGAGAAACTCTTCTACTGAATGCAAGTGAACCTGGGAATATAAGTTAGTTTCTCAAGTGATATGGTCCTGAGCTGCATAGGGCCTTACATGTTAATACCAAAACCTTGAGGTTTTTTGTATATGACTTATGGCGAAAAGTCTTTCCTTCTGAATTACTCTCCTTGGTAAATGTGTCTTGTTTGCCTTTGTAAAGCAATTAAAGGATAGTGTATATAATTTTAAATTCCAGAGCAAAAAGAGATCATTTTAGATATCATTAATTGTATTTCCTTATTTCTGATGAAAATGATGCACATAATGGGGTTGAGAGAGGAAAGCATATTGAATTAACACCTAAATTCTGTATTGCTTTAGATAAGGCTGTGTCAGTTTATTGTTGTGTAAAATGTTGGATTACTTTATGAAGGTTGCCTATTCCACGTCCAGGAGAGGTGCTGGGGTTGGTTGGAACCAATGGTATTGGAAAGTCAACTGCCTTGAAAATCTTAGCAGGAAAACAGAAGCCAAACCTTGGAAAATATGATGTATGTATTTTAAATATATGCCAAATGTGATTTCCTAATATCCTTTGAAACTGCATTTTGTAGTTCTTGTGCAAATGAAAACGAGTAGTGCTTGCTAGACTGGCAGCATTACTTTGCCCCAATAAGTAAAATCTATATAGCCATTTAACCATTAGGAAGTTCACAAATATGTATTCTAAGAGATGTACAAACGTCTTTCACGTGAGGATGTTAACCATCATTTTCCTGTTGGACCAAGAAGTTAATGGGTGGGAAAAGGAGGCTGTTGAAAGGACGAGCATTGTAAAGCAGCAGTGATGACAGGTTTTGCCATACGCATCTTGCCACTCTATTGCTATTGGTCTTTTTTATTTTATGCATTATTATGCCATTCTGTATTACGAACACAGAAACATAGGGTGCTGCTTTATACCAAGTCAGACCATCTAACTCAATATTGCTTACACTAACTGGCAACAGCAGTCAAGGGTTTCAGGCAGAAGTCTTTTCCCAGCCCTAGCTTAGCTGGAGGTGCAGGGGATTGAACTTTTGCATGCAATGTACCTTTTGACCTTTTGCATGCGATGTACATGCTCTACTACCAAAATACAGTTCCTATTCCGTTCCCCCTTTCCAGCTGTGAATTCACTTGCATTCACATCCCACATAAACACTTCGTGGTTTTTGCCTTGTGTAGCTGTATTTTGTGGAAACTTTAAACCCCAAAGCTTGAATTGATATACCATACTTTTGGCGGGGGGGGGGGATCCTTGCGTAATTAGGAATATCATTTTTATACTTCCATTAAAAGTTTAAAATCCTAGATTTCTGTGACGGAATGCAGTAAGCAGTAGGTTCAGACATCTCTGTTCTGACTACTTGACCTGATTGATGTTAAAGTTAAGTTTTTGTACAAAGAATTGGTTGCCTACAAGTAGATGTCATGACTTGCTAACTGTATTCTATGCAAGTTGGACGGGTTAAATTTAGTCCTGCATGATTTGTTTCAAACTAGCTTCTCAAAAATACCACCTGACAATTTCTCTGATGTAAAAAAGAACAGAGCTGTACGCTGCTGCTGCTACTGCTTTATGAAACACATGATAGACACATTTGTGAGTCACATTACACGATAGCTAATAGTTTAGCATGAATGTGAAGATTACACCTGCTTTTTTTCTCTCCTAGCATGAGTGGGAGTAAAAAGCATAATCCCTAGCTTCCAGTTAAAACTGAACAGGAATTGTGATTTCTTTACTTCTAAACAACCCACGTTCAAGAATAAATCTTGGCATCGCATCATGGCTTGTTTGGAGTGCAATAAACCATGATCTCTGGTTCGGTCACATATTTTGCTTTATTCCTTACATTAGAGGAGTTGAAACAAAATTTAAAAAAATTCCTGTATCTAGAATTAGAGGAGTTGTGCTTTGTTCCTTATGCTAGCGTACTAGAAAACAGGGAGCCACTTGTACATTCAATGTAAAGTGTTTACTACGGACTACTGGAGTGTGATCACAGCCAGTGTTGCTCTAGGAGGCCACTGCTCCCTCATGAGCACTTGAAAGATTTTCTCAAAATGCCATTTGAAGTATTCTTGTCCTTAGACGTGTTTCCATACCTCTCAAGTGTTTCTTTGAAATGCTTTTGTATAGGATCCTCCTGATTGGCAAGAAATCCTGACTTACTTTCGAGGATCTGAGTTGCAGAACTATTTCACCAAGATCTTGGAAGATGACCTCAAGGCCATCATTAAGCCCCAGTATGTGGACCAGATCCCTAAAGCTGCTAAGGTGAGTAAGCTTGTTGGCTAAGGCTGTGGTCCTAAGTTCCCTTATCTTGGAGTAAACCTCATTGAATTCAGTAGGACTTAGTTCTGAGTAGACATGGCTAGGATTGTGCTGTAAGGTGGGATGGGGGAAAGAAACAGGCCGGTTTTCTGTATGGGGTAAAGGTAAAGGACCCCTGGATGGTTAAGTCCAGTCAAAGGCGACTATGAGGTGCGGTGCTCATCTTGCTTCAGACTGAGGGAGCCGGTGTTTGTCCACAGACAGCTTTCCAGATCATGTGGCAGGTATGACTAAATGCTTTTGGTACACAGAGGACCATGATGAGTGCCAGAGCACACAGAAACACCTGCCATTGTGGTACCTATTTATCTACTTGCACTGGTGTGCTTTCAAACTGCTAGGTTGGCAGAAGCTGGGACACAGCAATGGGAGCTCACCCCGTTCTGTATGAAAGATATAAGGCAGAGTTTTAGTCAAGAGCAGATTACAATTTTAGTACAGTATCTCATATCGTGGCTTAAGTAAAGTCCTGATTGTCATCTTATTGTGACAGGGAACAGTGGGCACTATATTGGACAGGAAAGATGAAACTGGCACACAGACTATTGTATGTCAGCAGCTTGGTAAGTGATGTTCTTATACAAAGTTTTAAAATAATCTGTGTAATTAGTCCTAAAAGCTTTCTGTTTTGTTTTTAAAATTGAAACTTCTTTCATAAACCTTAAACTTTTAAATTTACATTCAGCATTATATTTTTTAACATTTAAGAATGTTTATAGACTGCTTAGTGCAGAATGGTGATTAATATTAGTTACTTATGAAATTTTAGGCTTTCTTTGTAAAAGTATTATCATGTATCCCAGTAACAGGACTTAAGCTAAAAATTGATTGGATCCAGACTAAGTTAGTCATGCTGTAGACCCATTGAAATCAGTTGGACTTAGTTGTGAACAACTTCACTTTTTCCACTGGATTGATAGTCTGGATCCATCTCAATCACAATAAAACCAATTAATAATACAGTAACCATAAAATAAATGCCACAGAATTACCAAATGGAGGCCCAAATTAAAAACACAAGAGGTCATTGAAAAAGGCACGTTTTCACCTTTTTATGAACAATATGGGAATATGATGGAACCCTATGGGCTAAAGGGCACAGGGAAGAGCAGTAGTCCCTCACCACTGCCTTTCCAGAGCCTACTTTCTAGGAATGAACAAAAACATTTATAAAATATTATGTCTCAAGGTTCATTCCAAAAAGGTCATCCAGAAGGATGCTATAGCTGAAGCCATAGTTGCATCCGCCAACACTTAACTTCATTTGCAAGGGGCATCAGTTCATTTTGGGACTTGTACATGTTGTGCAGTGGACACTGTTGATGCAACCCAGGTTAATGTGTGGAGTTACTTATTGAGATGAATGGTGAAGTTCTCATGTAGAAACTAATATATTTAATTGTAACCAGTTGACATGTTAGCATATTTTGTATGTACTCGGTTGTGAGAAAAATATATTTGCAGATTTGTCTCATCTGAGGGAAAGAAACGTTGAAGATCTATCTGGAGGAGAACTTCAGAGATTTGCCTGTGCTGTGGTTTGCATTCAAAAAGCTGACATGTATGTAGCAATTTGGCTTTTAATAGTGACTTCAGTAACTTTGCTAATTTTAGAATATTGTTTGTGACCTGAGTTGTATGCATAATTTTCACTCACTTTGTCATGCAGGCCAGGCATTTCGAAAGTTCAAAATTAGACCTTAATTTTTTCACTTACCTAATTAACTTCACGTCTTTTACTAACTAGGGTTTATAAACTGTATGAAATCTAGTGTTGTGCAAGTGGAGCTGTCTTTCCTCCCTGCAGCCCATCACAACCACCAAACTTGCTCTGAAGAATCACTTGACACACCAGAGCAGATCTTGAGGGTTTACAGGAGAGGAGAGAAGTCCTGTTGTATAACAATATAATAATCATCATCATTTATTATTTATATGCCACCCATCTGGCTGGGTTACCCCAGCCACTCCGGGCAGCTTCCAACAAATGAAAACACAATGAGACATTGAATATTAAAAGCTTCCCTAGTAAAGGGTTGCCTTCAGATATATGAGTAGAAGTCTGTTCCCCTCATGTCCACACCATTGGATACAACCTTGTGACGTTAAGACTGAAGACTTTCTAAGTTGGCAAGAGTCCTTAATAGTCACATGACCATTTCTATTACAAATTATTTTATGCAGCGTTTTAACAAGAGAGTATTCAAATTTTAGCATTCAGCATGCTTTAAACTTGTATTTATAACCAGGGATGCTGTTCATGGGGACCAATCTATTCTGCAGCCAACACAGGGACTGAAATACTTGCTGTGACTTAACATGAGTATTCACTTTCTAGCAAGGAAGCTCATGTGGAGTTGTCCATGTGTAACATTGAAAAGACATTTTTCACAACTTGCTGGAGGAATTATTTGAGTGAAACCAGACAGATAACTGGGTCCTCTGTGCTCTCCCAGTGGGTTATCACTGCTTTGTGTGATACTGTGGCAGAAGAACAAGGCACCAAATGCCAGAGCATGGAGGAGGAGGAGGTGGGGCTATTAAGCCTTTGAGAAATGGGACATGGCAACAGAATATTGTACCCTCACCGCTTAAAAGGAGTACTAGTATTCAGGATTCCAACCTGCCATGACCTCCAGGGTATTGGAAGCTGGGTAAAGGGTTCAAATGGGCCAATTCATTCCTTTACATAGCACACATTTTCATTTTTCTCTTTACTAACATGACATTTCATCCCTCAAGGCTCATTTCCCATTCACTTGTTTTGAGCTTTTTGCTCCCTTGGGGTTTTAAAAAAGATTTTCTGTACTTCTGCATACCTTTAGGTGCACCTGATGGTGCTGGCATATCCCTCTTGTTTCTCAACAATCCCTTTTTTTGGCTGCATTCTTATTGGTTCTCAGTTCATTAGTAGAGAGAAATGGAATTTAGGGAAGGATGGGTGGTCTGTTAAATTTGATGAACATAAAACCTGTTCCCCTCCCCCTTATTTCCCCCTTTTTCCCCCCTTTTTGGGATAGCTTCATGTTTGATGAGCCCTCCAGCTACCTGGATGTTAAGCAGCGTCTGAAGGCTGCCATTACTATTCGATCTCTAATAAATCCTGACCGGTGAGTAATGTAATTATAAATGGAGGTACTAATACTCGAGCCTCATAATGCTGATTACATGTGATAATTTTCTTATGAGAGATATGTATTTGGAGGCGGGATGTTTAGTATCCTTACTTATAGTTCTGATTGCATGTGTTTAATATTGGTTTACTACGTAAGTTTCCTTCAGATCTGCAGTTAGAAGGTGATGCATAATTAAATTAGTAATAATACTAATTGTTCATAGTATTATCCTGCCCACTAGCGCCTGAATTCATATCAGGTTTTGTGATTTCAACCAAAACCAATGCCAGTATGCCTTATCTTAAGCACTTACTTAGAGATGCAGAGTCTCAGGATGCTACTGTTTGTTTCTAGTTTTAATGTAGGAACAATAGGGGTGGACATTGCTTGCTCCTGGAGAATATCCCACTTACATCTATTATTTTCTGATTTAAATGTCTCTTTCTGTATCTACTTTTGTAATTTATTGGGTAAAGTGGAGAATAAGCTGAAACTGACATTTTTTGACTTTCATATCTTAGTAAAATAACGGCAACCAGATTTTCAATATTTACAATTTTGCTTAAAATGCACTATGAAATGGTACCATGTACGTATGATACCATGTACTAGCAGAAAAATTTCATGTTGTCGTATTTTTGCTTGAATCTAAAAACAGAAGAAAATTAATTCAACTATCTTTTTGTTTTTGTTTTTTTAGGTATATTATTGTTGTGGAACATGACCTGAGTGTGCTCGATTATTTGTCTGACTTCATCTGCTGCTTATATGGTGTGCCAAGTGCTTATGGTGTTGTCACTATGCCTTTTAGTGTAAGAGAAGGTAACTATATTTTAAATCAACTTTCTCTTCTCCCTCAGTTATGTGTGTTCTTCCTACAAAATAGTTATGTGTGATTTAAACAATTTGACATCTTTAGTGTGTGTGGGTTTTTTTACAAATACTTCCTAAATGCTCTCAGGCTTCTCATACTTAAAAAGTAGGTCACATTAGACAAATAACTGAGCTGAGTTAGCTCTTGCCCTTACCAATATATAGTTATTTCAGTCTTTTTAGTTCTGTTCACTTCATTCCTCTCCTGTTTCATCTCAGTACCATGAAAGTAAAATGACATGCATTTCCAAGTGAAGAGCAGACCCTGAGTACCCCTAAATAGAGCTGAGTCCTATTTTTGGGTTGTCTGTTGTTCTCTCATGTTGGTGATTTATATTTTGATAATCCTATGCCTGGTTTAGGTGCTTTTTACTAATGATGATTTATCTTCTTACAGGGATAAACATTTTCTTGGATGGCTATGTTCCAACAGAAAACCTAAGGTTCCGAGATGCATCTCTTGTTTTTAAGGTGGCAGAGACAGCTAACGAAGAAGAGGTCAAGAAGATGTGTATGTATAAATATCCCGGAATGAGAAAAAAGATGGGGGAATTTGAGCTGTCAATCGTTGCTGGAGAATTCACTGACTCTGAAATAATGGTGATGCTGGGAGAAAATGGTGAGTGTTATTTCAACTAGAGAATTCATTGTGATCTGTTTTTCAGGGGTTAGGTCCAAAGGCTGTTGGGGCACATCCAATGTCATTTCATATTTACCCTTCTGAATCCAAATTGATGCAAATAGAGGACATAGCAAAACTCTCCAGCAACAGTGTTTGATTGTTTCCTGGCCTCATCCAAATTAATTGCAGTATTTTAAAACTGTTTTTAAAAAGTTTCAAATGTCTCAATGGATGCTAGCAAAAGAAATGAATAGACTGAAAACCATCATTTAAAAATGAATGGCAAGTGGCTAGTGTCCCCCCACCCCAACTTGGATCAAGATGTAAGCAGCTTCTCTTATTTTCTGCTAGTTTCACTATTTTGTGAACTTTGATACAGTGGTGCCTCGCAAGACGAAGTTAATCCGTTCCACGAGAGTCTTCGTCTAGCGGTTTTTTCGTCTTACGAAGCAAGCCCATTGACGGATTAGCGCTATTAGCGCTATTAGCGGTTTAGCGGCTATTAAAGGCTTAAAGGCTTAGGGGATTAGCTGCTAAAAGGCTATTAAAGGCTATTAAAGGCTTAGCAGATTAGATAAAGGGGGGGGAAAGCGAAAAAAAAATCTCAAGACTCGCAAGATATTTTCGTCTTGGGAAGCAAGCCCATAGGGGAATTCGTCCTGCGAAGCAACTTCAAAACGGAAAACCCTTTCGTCTAGCGGTTTTTCCGTCTTGCGAGGCATTCATCTTGCGGGGCACCACTGTACTTAGCTGCAGAAAGATAGTTGCACTATACATGTATGAATACCTTTATTCAACCAAGCATGGACTCAGTTCTCTAAAGTTTTGATTGAACACAAGGGAACAGGTGGTCTCTATAAGTCTTGCATGGGCCCAGAAACCGATTTATGACTTTGAAAGTAAAAAATCCATTGCATTAGACCTGGACCTGGAAGAGAACTGAGAGCTTGTGCACCTTGTGACCAGCTGCTGTTAAATGACAGTCAAATCAACTGCATTCCACACCAACTGAGCCTTCTTACCATCCTGCATATTAGCCCCGTGTAGAACACATAATAGTAGATTAGGAATGCTACATCAGTTCATAATAAACATGCAAGTAAAACAACACTGAACCCGGGTTTTTTAAAAAGGGATTTATTAGCATTCTGCTCTTAGTAAAAAAATTTAGTGCGGCAGTGATGGAAGCATTTGTACATCATGGTGCACTATAGTTAATATTTTACCCCGATTACATCCATTAGTGCCAGAGGTGGGGTACAAACCATGATCTCCAGCTTAGTGATACACCCAAACCTGGAGATCATGGTTTGTTTTGTTCCAGACAAACCTCAGCATGGATTCTGGTTTATGGAACAAGAACCATAAACTCCAGTTTGGATGTAACATTCCGCCACAGATTGTGGTTTTCTCCCCTGTACTTGTGGAGATGAGGGAACTGGTTACAGTTGGTACGTTCATGATAAAACATGAACTACAGTTTACTGAAACAAGCAAACTGGACATATATGGTGCCTTTAGATCTCTACAAACAGTAGTGTTCCCCAAAGCTTTGCCAATTTTATTAAATGCAGATTTATATTTTAAAGACTAGCCATAAACTATGCTTTGCTAATTTTGATTATAATATATTTTAATCTTACAGGAACTGGAAAAACGACGTTCATTCGCATGCTTGCTGGGAGACTGACACCTGATGATAAAAGTAATGTTTTGTGTATTTATTTAACATATCATTTAAAACTTTAATTTTGTTTTTAATTACTGTGACTACATATGATGTCTCTCTTACAGGTGAAGTACCAGTTTTAAATGTTAGTTATAAGCCACAGAAGATTAGTCCTAAGTCTACTGTAAGTGTTTGTTTCACATTTTTACTTTCTAAGCAATAGTAATGGGAAGCAAAGTGGACTAAGCAAAGTGTGAACTTATTTTAATAGGGAAGTGTACGTCAGCTACTTCATGAAAAGATTCGAGATGCCTATACACACCCCCAGTTTGTGACTGATGTAATGAAACCTCTACAGATTGAAAATATCATTGATCAAGAGGTATTTATTACCCATGTGATACCATGTTTTGTAGTTGATAGGTCCCTTCCCTTTTACACCAAGTGAATTTTTTAATATTGCTTCAACCAGGTGCAAACATTGTCTGGTGGTGAGTTGCAGCGGGTTGCTCTTGCCCTCTGTCTTGGCAAGCCAGCTGATGTCTACTTGATTGATGAACCTTCTGCATACCTAGACTCAGAACAACGTCTGATGGCGGCTAGAGTTGTCAAACGGTAAGCTGGTTAGTGGATAGGGAAAGAGGGGTGCATGTCTGCAAAGGTTTCATTTGATATTTGAAGGTAGTTTAACTTAAAAAAATAATTTTTAAAATTGCATTGATTTTCCCTTCCATTTCAGTTTCATTCTCCATGCTAAAAAAACTGCCTTTGTGGTAGAGCACGACTTCATCATGGCTACCTACCTTGCAGATCGTGTCATTGTCTTTGATGGCATTCCATCCAGGTGCACAGTGGCAAACAGGTAATGTACTGCGGGGGGGGGGGGATATTGTAGTGCAGTTTTGATGCTTATGTCCCTCTGGCAACAGGATCCACTTCTGCATTTGGATCCTTCTACAGTAGTACCTCAGGTTAAGAACTTAATTCGTTCCGGAGGTCCGTCCTTAACCTGAGACACCACTTTAACTAATGGGGCCTCCCGCTGCCACTTCACCGCCGCCGCGCAATTTCTGTTCTCATCCTGAAGCAAAGATCTTAACCTGAGGTACTATTTCTGGGTTAGCAGAGTCTGTAACCTGAAGCATCTGTAACCCGAGGTACCACGGTACTCTGGGAAGGAGCCAAACTATTTGTTCAATCCCTGTGGTATTTGTGTTGGCTTCATGTTGATGTGATATTATTGCATGGAATTGTTGTGAAGCAATCAGAGTAAGGGCAGTACTTTCTGGCACTGGAGTCTTGTAGGTTTTTTAAAAATTGGCAACTCCCAGCAGCAGGAAGCCCAATCAACGCCCATGGTAAGGTCTCCACATACTTTACCTCATTCGTGTCTCTCCCATCTTCACAACCTGTGAATAGTATAGCAAAAGGGGTGACATTATAGCCTGATACTAGTGCAAATACAGAACTTAGATTAGAAATGTGTTTACTGGGTGAACGAGCATATCAGTTTATGCCATTTATCCCCCCGTTTATGTGGGAATGATAAAATTGTAGGGTTGGGACTTAGTCATCTGGTCCAGTCCCCTGCAATTCAAGAATCTCAACACGTGGCCCCCCCATCCAATTTGAAACTATAAAGGACCCTTGTTAGCTTTGCAAATGTACTAGCAGTTTTATTGCTGCACCACTAGGGAACCAATATTGCAAAGGTGGAAAGGGAGTAAAGCTAATAAGGGATGTGATTTAAGAGGCCAAGATGATTTCCTAGTGCATTGTGCTTCTAGCAAAAGTAAATAAAAAGAGGACCCTTTAACAGAAGTCCAGGAAAAAGAGGTTGCACTCTTGCCTCTCCAGACTATGCAGGTTTACAAGACCGTTAAAAGCACCATTGAGAAAGTAATATACACCTGCTTTCTTCACAGTCCTCAAACTCTTTTGGCTGGCATGAATAAGTTCTTGTCTCAGCTTGAGATTACTTTCAGAAGAGATCCAAACAATTACAGACCAAGAATAAACAAACTCAATTCAATCAAGGTAAGAATTCAAAGCTTTCTTCAAATCTGTCATACAAGAAAAAAATGTATGCTGGATGAGGAAGCAGGGGCAAGGTTTCTAATGGTTTTTTTCTTCTTCTAACAGGATGTGGAACAGAAGAAAAGTGGGAACTACTTTTTCTTGGATGATTAAATGAAAAATTGATCATCAGTTTATAAAAATGAAAACTTTGTTATATGAAATGCAATCAGGTTTTAAAATATTTCTCATTCCAGAGGTTAAAATAGAATGTTACTGTCATGTAACATCTCCTGCCCAGTAGCAGTGTCAGAGCACCTCTTCTTGTGCCTGCCAAGGCCATCTTTTGATGTAATATTTCAAAGCAGAGACAGCTGAAGTGACCATACCAAGATACTATGTACTTTTTTCCACAATGGGGATATTTTGGTTCAAACCTAACTTATTAATGTACCAAACGCTGACATGTTTCCAATTTTAAGTCTTTGAGCTGTTTTCTGTACAAGATGGTTTACAAAAAGTCATGATATAGAAATTGCTTATTTTAAAAGATTGACTCTCTGTAAATGAGGGTTTCATAAATAAATGTCATCTAAATCTACAGTTGTTTGAATGTCAGTGATCAGATTGTAAACATGCAGAGTCCTTTACAAGCAAGATCACTCGTTTCTCCCTTGAGGTTCTGTGACTAATGCATTAAACTAATTCCAGTATATAAGCCATTGTAATGAGAAAACACCATCCTGAACATTAGTCTGCCTAGTCCCTATTTGATCCCTCTACCTTTGGATTACGGAGCTGGTGCACATGTACTTGCTTTCATGTTTAAAAGTTCTTTACATTTTCTCCTTTCATAGGGTCTATGTATTCAATCTGGAAAAGTTCACAGCAGGGAGCCCTATAAGGTTCTGCAAGGCCCCTGTAATTGTGTCTTAACGCATGTTGTATTGACACAGCTAGTGCACCAATGGGGGGGGGAGTCAAACTATTGGAGTATTACAGCACTTGCTGTGGCTGGAGACCAATGCAGGAGAGAAGAAGGCAACTATTTCCACTGTTACATGTGCACCATTGCGTTTCTTCTCTCTGTGCTCCTCCCAGCAGTAGTTTCTCCTCTGGTCTCCAAGCACTGATGTTATCTGTAAGGGATTCCCACATAGTGGGGTTAATGTCATCAGCCTTCATGTCACATTTGCAGGCTATAATACAGTTTGTCTGGCTACAGGCCTGCTGCCATCTCCCCAAAGAGCATCCTTGGGAATCCTGCCATCTTCCATTCTGACCAAGCCAACGTAAACGTCACCGAGACAGAAGTGCAAACATGTTGGGAATATGGGCTTGGCAGAGTACATCTTTGTTTGGAGGGAGGGTGGGAGAAAATATGCTCTGCCAAGCCCAACTATTCCTGGGTATTTTTTAAACTAGGTATTAAGCTTTAGTTGCAAAGTTGTTGCAAGCTAAACTTTACTCAGCTTCCTAATCTACACCTGAGTTTCACTCACATCTAGTTATCAAGTAGATGTTTAAAAACCACTCACACCATATAAAGAAATTCAGAAAAAACAACACTTTTTTAATTATAGCATGCATCAGAAGGATACTCATAAACAGTATCATTCAAGTCTCCTGATGGAAGTTATACAATCTCTTGGACACAAAATAGTAGTAGCCATCACCTTCTCCACTGATATACACACACAAATATACACAGTTCAACTTTACAGAGGGAAAAAAATGGAGCACATATTTCAGTGCTTTGTAAGGCAAAAGAAAGCAACCAGACTGATAGTGTAATGTAAATTAGAAATCTCCCACTCAAAGATGGGTAACCAGGCTTTATATATATATTTATATATATAGGCAGGAAGGAGGCTTTTAAAAAAGGAAAGAACAAACAATACAAACATTTCCACAGCGTAAAGGGGCAGGCAAAGGAGGCTTAACAGCAACTCAGTGCCTAAGCCTTGCTTAAACAGAAAAGGGAAGCTTAGATCTAGCCCATGCATTTCTCACACAGCAAGTGTTTTAAGGATTTGTCAGTGCAAAAGTATCTTAAAAGTTCTGTTGTAACAGTTGCAAAACTATTTTGGAAATGTACTTTTGTCGAGGGTACATAGTTGGCATAGGCACCATTACAATCATACCAGTGTTAAGACTGCCTGGAAGAATTCACAACTTCCTACCAGTTTATACACTAGTATTCTTGATTGCTTTTTACAAGTTCAAGAAATGCTTTATAAAATTAAAAAATATATACCCCTATGAGTAAGACACTATCAACCACCTAGGACACACAAGGATAGTTGACTACCGTATGTGGCATCTTAACTGAAGCAAAACGCAACCTCACATGTTCAAGTTTCACAGATTTTTGAGATGAAAGGCCTTTGGATTGGAAGCACATCAAAGTCAACTGTCCAGGAAGCTACAAGTGTTTAGACCCAAGAGGCAGTATGCGAGGACATACATTCTATTTGGTTCAACATTCTTCACTGTCATCTGTCAAAATACTCAACTGCAGTAGGTTTCCATTGTAGCCACTTTTTTTCTATTATAAATTCCAAAGAAAAAGTCCAAACACCAAACCTACCTTTCAATATTTTAAACACAATAGTTTATATAGTTTTCGGAATTTAAATAAACCAACTAGCATTTATTTCTTTTTAATTTCCAAAAGTTATTTAACACTCATGAGGCTATTCCCCTTGGGCCTCACGTCACTCTTCAAAAATAGAAAAGGGAATTCTGCTCTTTAAAGAAAACAAGGAGGGGAAACCTTTGGGCACATTTCAGCTGTCAACATTCATGTGCATGTTGAAGCCTTCCGGAAGAAGTGCTCTTAAGGCAGCTGCTGCCCACGATAACCATCTCCCATGTTTGCTCTTCTTCTGTCATTCCGATACGGCCTTCCTCTATAATTGCGGTGATACTGAAAGCCATCATCTCGGCTTCTGCTGTGTGGCCCCCGCCAGGTTTCTTCATTTCTTGAGTAATGGTATCCCCCCCGTCCAGGAGGGTAGCCCCATTCGCCTCTAGGCCTTCTGCCGCCTCCATAAGTTTGGTTATAAAACTGTTTTGACCGGCCACTCCTCAGCATATCACACACTTCATGCTCATCTTCAGAACTCTCTTCCCTTGGCCTTTGTACCCGACAATCCTCCAGGCCTGCACTGGCCTGGTCATTCTTCTCTTTATGGCTAAAAGAAGAGTTTTTCAATTCTCTTTTTGGCGTTGACACCACCTGTCTCCTGCTGTCCTGCATCTCTGTGGATGGGTTTTGGAGTGGAGACTCTGCTTGTGTAGCAGATGGCGCAGTAGGACAAGCCTGCTTCTCCCTAGGCACTCTGGTTGAGGTTTTATTTAGAACATTACAGTCATTCTTTGCAGTGGCTGCAGAGAGAGGTGAGCCTTGGCTGCTGTTTTCACTCCTTGCCTTCTGAAACGACTCGGAGTATCCCGTCGCTGCAGCAAGGCCCTCCTTCGGCAAGCCGGCATCAGCTCTCTTGTCCACAGGAGGCACAACCACTTGTCTCACCCCAGAATTGTCAACATAGCCCTGAACAGGATACCCATACCAAAGTTGAGAGTACACTGGTGCAACAGGAACAGGTCCTAGAAATTGATTCTGCCCAAACGGAGGTTGTGGGAACACGCTTTGGCCCCCGAAGGACTCATCGTATTCAGCCGGAAGGCCTTGCCCTAGATTCTCAGACTCTACACAGACAAGTCCTTGGCTTTCAGGCACCTGAGCTGCAGGTATGAAGAGGGGCACAGATGGAGGCCGGGTGTCAGTCTGCGGACTCTGGCCATTCATTCCGACTTCATTCTGCCCAGGCAAGTGTCCGTCTATTCGGGCAGCTTCGTTTCCGTTCTGAGATAAAGAAACCTCTTGCATCCAAGGGTTGTGGGAATACACTGCCAGGGACACCTTTGGGTACATTCGGCAGGCTGTTAGACAAGCCTGATGAAGAGGGTACAGATAAGAGTGAGGGGCCCACATGGGGCAACTGTATGCCTGCAGAAACGCAATCAAGGAAAATTTGGATGAACCTTCACACACAAAAATCCTCGATCTAGTTTTTCAAGTTCTTGTTTTTCATGCCTAATGCAGTATGTTGGTTAACATCATCCAGTTACAGTTCTAATGTGCATAGGTTATTTTCCCTAATGCATGACACACCTCAATAGCATATCATTACATTAACTCACATTGCTACGCTAAAGGTGTCCCCTTATAAAGTAGCCCCCACATATTGGCAAACCTTCCTAAACGGGCTTAAGGTTTTTCTTCTGGGTCTCCCAGAAGCACTCTTAATAGAACAGCAATAATTTTAACTATTTGATAAGGTGACGGCCACACTATTACAATACCCCCTCATACAAGGAGATTGTGGTGGCACAGCTGAGCAGAATAAAGACTTGCTTCTTGGGACTACTTTACTGTTTGCAACCAGCAGGTGGTGCAATAGGGTGCATTTGGATTTTATCCTATCTGGAGATAGATTTTATGCAGCACATCTGTCCATCTGTCCTGAAAGACTGCAGGTTGGTGAGATGTTAAAGCCTCTCTTTGCAAACTAGGAAGTTTTCCATCAACACAAGTTTTCATTTTCATCTGGACCAGGAAACTCCGGCCAACTATACTAGGAGAAGCTAGGATATGAAAGCCAACTTCAAATTATGGCTTTCATCTCCTGCCTTGCTCCAAAGCTGTTAACCATAGTTCTCTAATTCGGACAATGCAAAAAGTTCGAGTTGTTAAAAGCAAATTGTCATTTGCTTGGTTACGCTGTGAAGGGAGGGTTGAGGATTCAAGGGGCTGGGATGCATGTACAGCCAAATGGTGTGCTCTTATCTTGATTTATTAAGCTGAGATGTGATCGGCTCAAATAAGACCACATTCTCACCACAGGCATAACCTGCCCCTAACAGTAGGCACGCTAGATGTGCCAAGTTAGTTCTAAACAGATAGTCTTTCCATTGTTTTACATTTCAATGAGACTTTTCCATGTTAATATAAGCTTAACATGGCCAAATGCATTTGAGCATAAGCCAAATATAGTAAGAAGAGCTATTCACCTTATTCCACTATCTGCTCCATGAGCAGGTGAAGGAACTACAAGGAAGCCAAGCCCCCAGTGCATATGGGCTGTATATGTAACCTGACACCTTCCATAAGTGTGTGTGGTTACAACCCACCTACTTGTCACCAACCTACTTTTGACTTGTTTTAACAGTAAAGCACTTACATTTTTACTATGAACTGCCTTGGGAGTCATTATGGCCAAAAGACAGGCAATCAAGAAAGATAATAGATGAAAGGACTTGATTTTTTAGTTGTTTCGGAGGTGAGCTGTTCCAACTTCAAAACAACCAAAATTCTGAAGCATTCAATTTCTCTAAAACTGCTACTTCTTTTAAAAAATAAATAAATCTGGGCTCATGCATATTTTGGTTCTGCAATACTGAAGTGGAAAATACAGATAACTTACCTTTACACCAAGGTTGAAGAAAAACCGGAGGGTATTTTTATCTGAGAAAAGGAAAAAGTAAAACAAATTCAAAGGGTTTCCCCCCAATTCCTGTGTGTGTGTGTGTGTGTGTGTGTGTGTGTGTGAGAGAGAGAGAGAGAGAGAGAGAGAGAGAGAGAGAGTCACTTTGAACTGTGTCACCTCATCTAAAGCTTTTCATTTCTACTGATTCATAGCACAAGCAACTGAGTTCTGAGAGAGAAGATAGTGACCACTTTGCTCCTCCTCTGCTCATGCTGCTGCTGCTGCTAACTCATGGTTTTGCTTAGTATTGCATTTGAAACTGGTCTTAAGGTTTTTTCAATTTCAGGTGTACCACCACCTGTAGCCAAGGTATGTTCTACAGCATTCCACCTGTTTGTCTGTGGGAGATAAGCCACGAACCAGACACTGGCTTAGTATTGCACGCAAAAGAGATTACTGTCTTGTAATATGGCCTGGGAATCAACTCAAGGTTTAATGCCACACTTAAATAAAGGACTTGAATCTATGACATACAGAAGACTTGCAGTACTGACTAAGTGTATTGCTTACACATATTTTTAGGGTTACAAAACTTGACCAAATTAGGCAATGAGATGGAAGACAAGAAACAACACTGCTCCAGAGGGCAGTAACCTCTATGAACTATTGACACATTTTTCATTCCATTGATAATCTAGTGTACACCTGTCCTTGCTAAACAATATGGTATTAAACAGCCACAGATTCCCTATAGACCTTTCAATCCTCATTGTTGCTCCCACGCACAATTTCCTACAAGCCCGTATGTTTCTTAAACGGCAAGCTTATCAACAGACCAGTCAAATTCCAATCCTGAGCACATTAAATTGGGAGTAAGCCTTGTTGGACACAGTGGGAGTAAGCACAACTAGAACTGCACCCTATAAGTCATATAGAAGCCAGAAATAAGGATGCAGTGTTATCTCTGTTAGCCAAACTCTTGAGTAAATCCACTGAGGGGGGGATCTTCAACTATTCTTTACTCAGAGTAGACCTATTGAAATTAATGGTTGTGGTCATTAATGGGTCTAATTGAGTAAAAACACAGGTAAATACCACCCACTTAAATTTACAACATGACCAACTTTGGCCCATTAATTTCAACGGTCTACTCCAGGGCTAGCTCATACATGAGGCAGGGTGAAGCAGCCGCCTCAGGCAGCAGAAGCCTCAGGTGGCGCCCCCTTGAGCACACCACAAACCCCACCACCTCTGCCACTGGTGGAGAAGCGAGATTACAAGATCTTGCTGGAAATCAGCACTGCTTCTGTGGCAGCTGTGGTGCAGCAGCGGCAGGTGACACAGAACTTGCTTGATTCACCTCAAGTGGCAAAATGGGGCATGCTGCCTCTGGCCTACCCTCAGTGGAACTTAATTGATGCAAGGCTAGAAAGTTTCCTATATAATTCTATTTGTGGCTGCTTTAAGACAGCCGATGCTTGCTCTCCAAGTTACACCCACCCACCCCTAGCCTAGATTTTGACCAAACTTAACAACAATATTCCCCTTGAGCTATGGTGATAAAGTTCCTTCCCCTTACCATTGGGAAGATCCTCCCCTGTGCTGCACAAGGAGTAAGGTGGTGTACCAACTCGCTCCCCCTTTTCGTTTAGAGGGAATCCAGGGTAAAGTGGGTCCTGGTAAAGGTTCATGGTTTGAGGCACAGGCATTAGAGGCTGGTTCACTGCTTGGAGAGATACTGGAATCCCAGTAACTGGACTGGAGGTCACATGGACTGGGGACAGAGAGGGATCTAGCCCAGTCACCGGCGTCGGCATCACTGAGGACACGGGTATCTGAGGTGGAAGACCTAAGACACAAAGGGTGGAAAAACAAAAACAAGAACACAGAAAATTGTCTAGATCTAGGTAAGAGTAACACCAAGAACAAATTAAAAAGTCAGTTTGTGGAACGAGATGTGGATTGATCAGGTGTAAAATACAGGGATTGTGGGATTACCGTAACAACCAGACACCCTGAGATCCGATAGGCGAAGTATTTAATGTTGATAATGTCTCTTTAAAAAATATTTAGTCTGTATTAGCAGTTTCCATGACAGATTTTTAAGAACCATTTTATAGCAAGGTATGACATTAAAGGACCTCGTTCTTTTTGGATGAGCAAGCTATTTATTTCTCCAAACCTGTTGGTCCATAGGTTGTTGGCTCATTTGGCCAAGCGGGCACAACGGCTGGCACAGAAGGCACTGGAGGAGGCAAATGCATCTCGTGAAAGGCCAAAGATGGAGGAGGAGTCACGCCTGGTATGTGTTCCTGGAAGCTCTGCAATACGAAGACGCCACAGAGAAAACTTAGAAATGTTCCCAAATCAAATGCTCAACCAAGAGAAAAATTTAACTCAGTGGCAAAACTCAACATACCCTCCTTCCCAGGAATGAGAAGGTATTATAATAACTTCGAAGTCAACTCGAATGACATTTATTCAGAAGTCTCGCCAAGTTAAACCAGTCTTACTTCTCTGTTAAGCGAGCACAGGGCTGCAGCCCCAAAGTACAAACTCATACAAAATATAAACCAAATATTACTAATTTTTATTATGCTGTTGCCCATCTGACTGGGTTGCCCCAGCCAGTTGGGGGGGGGGGGCTCCCAACACAAAATAGTAAAAACACAATACAACATCACACGCTAAAAACTTCCCTGGACAGTTTTCTATGACAGCTTTCTTACGCAACCAGTTGTACATGAGGACTGAACCCTCTTGACAGCAGGAAAGATAGGCAGGAAAGATAGGTCTAAGGCAAATAGGCAACAGAAGACCCTACCGAACCCTACCCAGATGCTTCCAAGAACAGGCACTAGTGGGGCATGAAAGTCACCATCTTTCCCTGTTCATTCCTAGTATCTGGCGTTCAGAGGTATACTGTTTCTGGACCCATTGGTTCCAATTAGCCATCATAGCACTCTGAGCTGACCAGGTCAGCTACACAGCATATGCGACTTCAGGTGGATTCAATGAGCCAGTGAGCAGTTTTACCGTTACCAAGTGAGAGAAATCAAGTGGCACTAGATCCGGTCTAAGATACCTATTATGTGGAGGGGCTCGGCATCCATTACTAAACCAGATCAGCGTCTGCTTTAATTAAGGCATTCCTCTCTGATTAATAGTGTGCACCCCAAACAAATCCTCATCCTGTTAAATAAGCTCTTCCCAAACGCTGTTTCTGGCAATTGTGCCCAAAGTTCCAACCTACTAGCATCCAGGAATATGAGGCATTCCGCTGTAATCTGAACCCGCGATAGGAAGAAAAGAGGAAGCTAAGTTTGCCACCAAAAAGAGTGATAGAATTTAAGCACAAAATCTCTTACTTGTTCCAAAAACGGGGATTGCGAATCCCCATGACCTGAGGGAGGCGATATTCGTGAAGCTTCTCCATGGTTCTGGAAGTCAAAATGGACATAACACAGTTGCTTTATAAGCTTTCGTTTTGTGAAAGGCTACGGTTTTTGCGGTGCACATCACAGCTCACCAAATTTTGAGTTTTTACCTCAGATATTTTTGGCTCAAAATTCTGATCTATGAGGATCTGCCCGGGGTTAGAGTCTGCAACAGGAAAATAAAAAGTACCATTAACAAAGTCAAGATATTATGACTCAGGCTTCAGCTTTAGATTCCCCCGATGTTATTGGAGTACAACTCCTATCATCCCTCCCCAGTGGTCAAGCTAGCTATGGATGACGGATAGAGAAGGTTTCTACACTGTCTTGTCATTTAAAATACCGTTCAGCTGCTTTTCCCAAACTCGGCAAGTGTTTAAAGTAATCCCCACCCTGCCCCAAATGCCCTCATATTGCGTAACTTCCTTATTTCACAAAAGCTACAGAAGAGCTTCAACTAAGGATGTGTCAGTTTTAAACCCATTTTCCATTTTTTATACCTTTTCCCTCTTTTGCTTCCACATTTTTGCTTTTCCCCTTCTCTTCTTTCAAACTACTTCTTCTTCTTCCTCCTCCTCCATTAGATGCTCGGTGTTTTCTCCATCCAGTGTTATCAGTAGTTTGAGTAGCTACCTGAGACACTGCTGGGTTCTGAAAGAATTGAGTTTTTTAAAAGAAAAACTAAGAACTAATGTGTGCCACATTTTTTATCAACAGGGCCTGGTCCTAACAGTCATAGCAGAGTCCTACCACCTGAAAAGACCTCGATCACTGCTCTCCTACTAGTACTGTATAAGCTCTACTTAACTGAGTTCCTCATTGGCATAAGATGAGAATGCCCATTGTCCTAGCCCCAATACATTGTTTGTGTGAAGCCTTAATACATTAAAGGGGGAGGGGGAGGAAAGTTCCTACAAAACAGTGATGCCTAATCTGTGACCCTCCCATTGCTGATGGACTTCAACTCCCAACAACCAGTCCCAAACAGCACTGCCAATGATCAGGGATGACAGCAGCTGTAGTTCCAACAACATACGGAAAGCTGCAGGCTGCCCACCAATGAAAACTAACTGTGCTGAAGACTACAGCCTTAAAATTACAAATCTGATGCTTTAAAATGTAGGTTAAATTCCATTAAGAATGGGGTGGGTGGGAAGAGTAACAGTCTCAAAAGGGGGAAACCCCCACACAAAGGACCTCCTTCGGTCACAGTTGCCTTTCTATCGCCAGAAAATTCCATCATGGTCCTATAAGCCAACTAAGTGATTTATACCATTATGAATGTATAACACGTTCTCGGTAGCTGCGCAACTAGGAGACAAATCACAGAGGCCAAGATCCAAAAAGTCATTTTAGGTGCAGCCGGTGGGGTTGCTTTTTAAAAATAAAAAACAAAAACCCTTGTAAAGCAGTTGCTCTCATTGCATCACAAATGGCTTTTGACCTCCCCCAGCCTCAATTCTAAAAGTGGCACTGTGGGAGCACCATGTATGAAATGGAAGTGTTTAAAATATACATTCCACAATTTATTGGATTCTGTCCAGTACGAGGACAACATCTGGTAGCTTCCACAGATTATAACGACAATCCAGCTTTTCAGTTATATTTTATGACACTCCTCTGTCCTTCTCATTTGGTGCGGGGGGAGATGAGGGAGAGGAAGAAAAGTTTCAGCAGAATGGAATGCCAGAGGAATGATGGCTAATATCTTGCTGGTTTATGATAGTTACAAGGCCAAATACTGTCCCTAACCTTCAGTACTACTTATTACTATTCCATGAATCGAAGGGACACGGGTGACGCTGTGGATTAAATCACAGAACCTAGGACTTGCCGATCAGAAGGTCGGCGGTTCGAATCCCGCAATGGGGTGAGCTCCTGTTGTTCAGTCCCTGCTCCTGCCAACCTAGCAGTTTGAAAGCACGTTAAAGTGCAAGTAGATAAATAGGGAAGGTAAACGGCGTTTCTGTGCGCTGCTCTGGTTCGCCAGAAGCGGCTTAGTCATGCTGGCCACATGACCCGGAAGCTGTACGCCGGCTCCCTCGGCCAATAAAGCGAGATGAGCGCCGCAACCCCAGAGTTGGTCACGACTGGACCTAATGGTCAGGGGTCCCTTTACCTTTACCTATTCCATGAATCACCCCCCCTTGTCTAAACTCCTTAATTAAAGAAACAGAAGCAGACAGGTCCAGTTCCAGATTTCCTAAGCAAACTGCCCTTGGTGGGGTCTCCAGTGATATTGAGAGCACCCACTCTGTGGGTACCCACCCACCAGTAGTTGACAGTAGTGTCAGTAGACCCGGGGTCCATCCCCCACTTGGCCACAAAGCTCACTGGGTGACCTCGGGCCTGCCTCTCAGCCTAACCTACCTCACAGAGTTGTTGTGGAGATTACGTGAGGAGGGAGGGGCATGTTTTATGACGTGTGTGTCCTGTTTTGTAGCAGAAAAATTATATAGAATACAAATAAATCCATCCATGTTAAATGATGCTTCCTCGCCTTTGAAGCATTTGACTTGGGGGTGGCAACTTTAATACTTTGGCTCTAGTCTACCCTTGTGTGCTAGGCAGGAACATAAATCTACTTTGGCACCACTGTTGCCCAGAACCTTATTCTAGAAGCAAAACATTCCACAGTGTTGGTTCTTCTGGTTGGGTATTTTCGGTGGGGTGTGGGGATTATTGCACTGTGTCTCTTCTGTTATGATACCACTATATTTACACCATACTTAAAAACTGTCATAAAAAGATATACCAGGTTAACACTGCAGCAGTGAGAAGAGAAGCAGCACTGATTTTGCAACTCATTTTCATCATTCACTGAGCAAGGAAACAGTGCGCTCCAAGAAGCGTTCTGTGTCTTGTACACGTACCGAAAGCGCAGGAAAGGCTACTTCATCCCAGAACTGAATCTCATAAAGTGAATGTGTTTCCTCTATGGCCTCTCTCTCCCGGCGCTCCTCTGGAGAAAGGCCAAAGTAGTTACAATCTCTGCTGTTCGTATACTCCAAGTCTTCTGTTCTCTCACGACCTGCCCTTCTGAAGAGGGGAAGAAATGGTTTACAGCCACTTAAACAGTTTAAATAGCTCCTTTTCCAAAAGGACATCAGGTATAATACCCGCTCCCATAATTATTCAAATGCTCAGTTGAGTTCGATTTAGAAAATACAATTAAGGTACTGTACACCTCATGAGACGCAATGGCTAAATGACTTTTTTTTTTAAAGAGGGAGGGAAGCGACTGCCAGGTTATGGGTTCATCCACACTAACCTTTCCCACAACACCAATCTAAAGCCTCAACCCACTGGAACAAACTCACCCATATTCAAAGATTGGCAGACTGTTAACTGCCTCAGGACCAATGTTCACACCTCTGCTAGGACTGAGGAGCACATCTGTCTCTTGGGGGGAAACTCACAGGTCATCACAACAGTTATTGCTATAAAGGCACTGCTCTCAAGATCAGAAATCTGACAATGAGAGGAAGCTTCTGAGCAGGAAGCAGCCCTATATTAGAATATTCATGAATGTTCAGGAGTTGTGATCCCTAAAAGCACCAAGAATAAAATACCAAGCCCTCCAAATTAAGAAGTTTTAGTGACAGGCTGAGTTCACCTTAATGCCTGAGAGGGATTTCTGCCTGGAGTGCTGTGTTCAGGAGAAGTTTGCTGGAAATAAATCCCAGGGCAGGACATGTGATGCTGCCTTGTGCTGTGCAGTCGAGGAGGTAGCCCTGATGCGTTTTTCATTGCCTTGTTTGGATTCTTTGACCCTCTGAAGTCTCCATCTGAAACAACAAGAGGTTGCCGGATTTATCACAGGCAGACTGCCTGACCCCCCCCAAAAAGTCCATACAATATGCAAAAGCAGAAGGAAACCTACCAAAATGACTGAACTGCCCATGGGGTGAAATTGGCTTTTTTATCTTCTTCCCTGGCACAGTGTTCCAGCTTTCCAGAGGAGCTGCTTGTGGGATTGGCTTGAGGTTCTTCAGGAGTACGGAATGCCTGCAGGGGAGAAGATAAGGCAATCACCAATGCTATGGCACTGTGCTGCAACTCAAAAAAACCCCAACAGCATAGCTTAAGAATGGTTTACAATAAATATATTTTGCCAAGAGCTCCTGCCCCGACTCACGTTTCTCACCAACCCCAACTACCACCTCGCTTTACACCTCACCTCAACTCTTCATTCCTTCATCACTCCCGTGTTCCTCCGTTCCTGCTCAATTCAAACCTTTGTCGTTGTTTAAAATTACCATTTTAAAAACTGCCTTCATTTTTGATCCCCTCCCACACCCTGACTTCACACAAATCCTCCAATGGGGACTGTGTGTCGACAATTCTTACGTTTATATTTTACACAGGAAGAAACACTGAAGAACAAGACATACAATAAAATACGAACAGGCAAGATTTAAAGGCAATCGTTTTCCAGCATTAAACTTCTAAAGCCACTATCAGCTCATTCCTGCCAGGTCATGGTAAACCTAGTATATGGCCATGGTCTACTAGCTCCTTATAAAACTAAGAGATTTTCTTTCCAAGCAGGGGCAGGGAGAACCTGTGGCGTCTATTGCTGGACTACAACTCCCTACATCCATGGCCACTGGCCATGTTGGCTGATGGGAGTTGGAGTCCAGAAACATCTTGAGGCTCACGGGTTCCCCACCCCTGCCTTTAAAGGATGTAGAAGCTGAAGATTGTGTTCAATACCAGTTATTTAGGTTGGCCTCCAAGAGGAGCCCGTTATCCCAGCATCAGCAAGTGCTGGCTCCAGCGAAGCTCTGTAGCATTTTGAGCAAACATGTTTCTTTGAAGCAAGCAAGAAACAGTCTACATAACTAATTCCCACTCCCTCCTTCCAAGACCATGTTTCACTTCCCCAAGCAGTTACCCAAACAGAAAATGTTTTCCCCCCAAAAAAACATCATCGTCTATTCCTATCACTTTCTGTATGGAAGAAACATAGCCGTGCCTCCAATGAAGCATTTGCCTTAGATGAAAGCACTTCATCTCATATGACGTGGGACACTCAATTTTCACCAATTCTCCCTTAGCTATTTATGCCTTACAGCCACCTCCCTCCCCTGCCCGTGGTTGGAGGAGCTTTTGGAAGAGAACAGAATGTGGCATGGGGGTCTGCAGTAGAGGGTGGGGAACAGATGAAACTCAATTATGAGAATTTCCCAGAAAATGCTGACATGCATTATAAAAATGGAACTAAAACAGCATATTTCTCCAAACATTGTAAGTGCCACTGCTAATGTTACCACATTAAAGGTAAAAGGTAAAGGGAACCCTGGCCATTAGGTCCAGTCGTGGACGACTCTGGGGTTGCGGCGCTCATCTCGCTTTATTGGCCGAGGGAACCAGAGCAGCGCACGGAAATGCCGTTTACCTTCCTGCCAGAGTGGTACCTATTTATCTACTTGCACTTTGACGTGCTTTCGAACTGCTAGGTTGGCAGGAGCAGGGACCGAGCAACGGGAGCTCACCATGGTCCTTCTTACCATTTTATGCAGTTGTATTTAAAGACACCGTTGCCATAGCGCTTGGGCTCACTTCCAAAAGCATCTTAGGACAAGGATGGGGAACCAGTAGTGGCTGGATTACAACTCCCATTGTCCCCATCTACTGGCTATGCTGGCTGGGAATAATGGGAGTTGGAGTCCCACACCGTCTGGAGGACCACAGCTTCCCTACCCCCTCAGAGGAAATCAAATAGAAACACAGTTCGGAGCTAGTTTGCAGTATTGCCTTTGCTCTTTTTGATAGAAGTCAGGCAGACACAAAGCCTGCAAAAATACCTGCAGATTTTGGAGACTGATTCAAAAGAATCTAGTATTGACTAGTGCACATACTGTCATTTTTTTGCCCCTATGTCACCAGTCACCAAGACGTGTGACTAGGCAGAAAATGACATTGTTTCACTTACTTGGCACCAAGCTCTTCCACAAAAACAACAACTGGCCCGTTTGGAGACTGGACTTCTTGGATGTGAGCATTATAGAATCTTCCACTTTGGTCTAAACGCACCTATGGAGTAATGAAGAGGAAAGGAAATGTTTCTGTAAAATAATGTCTCTCCTCCTGAACCACTTTGCCAGTATCAAGTAGAAGCAGTACTGATAGATGCCAAGAAGAGAGAAGTAACTTAATACAGTTTGAGAGATCCTGGAACCTTTCACAAAGCAGATCCATAGATCTCCCCTTGGGACCACATAAGGAATAACACTGCTTTCCCTTGTGTTAAGTCATATCAGCAGCCCCACACAAATTCCTGCTATCAGCTCGCCTATCTGCATCCCTTACAACCCAGTCCTACTATAGTGAGGGGCAAAGACTTAACTGGCCTGGAAGCAAAACTCACAGATGAGCCACAATCCCCACCTGGGCTATACATTTAGAGCAGCATCATACCACATTAAACAGTAATGGCTTCCCCCAAAGAATCCTGGGAAGTAAAGGTTGTTATGGGTCCCAAGAGTCATTAGGAGACTACTATCCCCCTCACAGAAATACAGTGTGGTTTAACAGATAATCCCTCCACCCAGGGAACTCTGCAAATTGTAGCTCTGTGAAGGAAATAGGGATCTCCCAACAACTCTCAGGACCCTTAAACTACGCTTCCCATGATTTTCTTTTTGGGAAGCCACAACTGTTTAAAGTGGCATGATACTTTTTATAGATTTATAGTGCAGATGGGACTACAACCAGCACAGGTACTACACATTCTCCACCTTATGGACTTTTTTGCCTGGCATTTTAATATTCAAAACCACATCCAAGTCAAAACACTGTTTCCTACTAATACCTGGAAGTTCTGCGAGATGCAAAAAGGAGAATTATGGAGGTAGTAATTCTGTTTAGGAGAACAGAACCCTTGTTACGGTAATCCCAGGAGTGGGGAAATGGATCTGACAGGACGGATTCTTATCTCACATCAGCCTGTGAAGACTAACCTTGACTTGACTTTTTGTTGGCAGCAGCCCAGAGTGGCTGGGGAAACCCAGACAGATGGGTGGGGTATAAATAATAAATTATTATTATTATTATTATTATTATTATTATTATTATTATTATTATTAGAGGGGGGGCTGCTTACTTGGCATCAAATTGACATCAGGTGACACAATTTCCTTTGCCTGCAGCAGGCAAAAGCACTGTGCTGATCGTCATCAAGTGCAACGCTTGGTGCTGTGATCACTGGCACTTTCAAAAAGGACCAGCATTTGGAAGCAGAGTGGGAAGAGAAGGATGAGGATGAACTATAAGAAGGATTGCCACCTTTTTGTTCCAGAGAGGTTCTGGGACTTTCATTTCAGCAGCTTCCCTCAGCACTGAATTTCCATGCCGGAGGAGGAGCCCAGTTTGATTTCAGCCTTGCACTTCTGCTTTTAAAGGCACAAAACTTCTATCAAGAAAAGAAGTGGCAACCCCACAGTGGCACACAAGACTGAGGAAAGAAACAGTAGTTAAGTGGAATTGGCTCACATTCAACGTCACCTACTTTGCATTTATCGCCAACTGAATACTGCATGCCAGCAGCAATAGAGAAATCTTGCTTTTGCTGATCTGCAAGCACAAAAAGAAAATACGTCATTATACACTAGCAAGTGAGCACAGAATAATGCTTGATGCTCTTCTTGCACCAAGAAAATGATTTCAAACTACGAAGCTCACCTCGTTTTGACTGCTGCCAGGCTTCATATTCAATATTTTGGTAGACTGACGGATTCAGTGACCTAAGAACGCCTCTAGGCAAGGTAAGGGAGTTGGATCTTCCACGTTTGTGAAGCTGCTGTGTAATAGAAATAAGGAAGAATTTAATAAAAAATACATTAAAAAATTAAGGAAGAAAAGAATATCCATTGCAACAACGGAATATTTGTCTTTACGTATTTCTTTATATAAAAGTATTCATACCACTTAATATTTCAAAAATCTATTTTTTTGCACAGATATGAACAAGCTTGGGCACAAATGCAAGTACTGTTTGCAACACAGTAAGACCACAACTTACATTCCGGGGTCACTAAAGCCAAAATCATATATAGCCAAAACACATTGGATGCAATGGTGGGTAGGATTTCTAAAGCCTTTTTTCCTGGCCAGTCACCCCCTTTCTGCTCCCCATTCATTCATTTAGCCAAGTGTGTAAAGCAGAATGTGCACAAGTTAAATACATATAGGTTACAGGCTTACTGTTTATTGATTTTTAGATTCTTACATGAGAGGATCTCCAACTATAGCTTTATAAAAATTCCTAGACAGCAGAAAATCCATTGTAATAAGGCAAACAAAGTAGCCTGATATAGCTCTGATTCGCACAGCATAGCATTACCAAGGCCTTAATACATAAAACACTGTTTAGCAACCAGAATACATCCCCCCCCCCCATTTTTTCTGACCAGATGTTTAAGAGTCAGACTAAAGAAGCAACCTATATTTTTCCTCAAAAGCAAATAAAAGGTATTATCAGAGAAATTGCATTCCACCAAAAATAAATGCAGTTTGCAGCACAAGCCTGTGATTACTCAGATGCAAGTAGTGAGGCGTTCAGTGAGGCTTGGTTCCTAATGCAGACGTCACTCACCTTTGCGGGGGTCTGAGGACACATTTGCAAACCGGAACAAACTGTTGTGGCCACAACTCACACAATGAAACCTATTCTACTGGCTGAAGAAAAAAATAATGCTTCTTTCAAGCCTACTTTCATGGGGAAGGAAAACTACAGGGCACCATGGAAGATCTCTGTGGGCACATGTGTACCACGATAGTTGTGTTGGCAACCCTACACTAAATAGTTAAGTGCATGTAGGAGTACAGCCTTAGTAACGTGAACTATGGCGTTGCACTCATTAGCATCAGTGCACTGAAATTTCTCTGGCTTACACCTTATGCCAGCTAGCATTCCCTGGGTGAAATTAAGTCAAGCTCCTTAACACCAATGGTAATATTCTCAGCTACATTGACACAAAGACACAGAACTTTATAGGTAAATGAAAGAAACTAAAGAACAAAAATCAAAGCAATATACCTGTTTGCCTTCAGGTGGCTTCAACCCATTGGTATGATTTGCTGCAGCCACTTCACTTCTGTGAGGAGCAAAGGTATAAGAAATATTTTTTTGCAACAAACTCCGTATTTTTGTTTTGACACTATCACCCAGGTTTGTAAATAAGTTCACAAACATTACTAACATACAGATTTTTTTGCTAGCCTGCTAAGAGGCTAAAACCATGGAAACACAGGCTACTAAATAAATCTGCCTTCTGTCAAGTGCACTGGGGACAAAGGAAGCTGACTTCATGTCCCAGTGTAGCATAGAGAAAGCCAAGCCACTTACTCTCTGGGATGGAACTCCTGGCCACCTATGGCTGCCAGGTAAGGTGTTAAATATTTTGCCCTTATGAAAGCAGCAAACATCAATTGAATGTGGCAAGACAATCCATTCCAGATTCGCTGACATTAGTAGGACCAATTTATTATAAATGTAAGTATTTTGGTTTGACCAGGCTCCTGAAATCAGACTTGCAAGCAACCATTCAGCAAGCATCCAGTTGTTGTTTTTTACAGATTCTGTAAAAGTTTGAATTTTTTATGTCTTCTGAGCAGACATAGTGGAAGAACCAGGTGTTGCTACTAATTTTTTGCTTTGTTTTTTAGAAACACCGTATTTTAAAAAAAATTAAAAATCCCCGTATCAGGCATCAAACATCTCAGCTAACATTATCCTCCCTGTGCTTTTTAACGCTGAATTTGTAGACTTACTCCATGTCTCCGTCCTCTGAATCAGACGCTTCACTGTTTCCGTCGGCATCCTTAGTCACTTCAGGAGGGCTGAGTTCTTTTAAGATTTTACTCACATCGATGCCGAACACTTTCTCATACAGCATTTCATACAGAATAGCTAATCAGGGCAACGAAACAGCATTTGTCAGGGTTAAGCAATCATACTTGAAACAGTTCTACATGCGACATCATTTTACAGAGTTTTAAATACATGTTGAAATTAGGCATCAAGGATACTATCTGAGAGGTATTGATGCTGCCAATGTGTCCTGCAGATTTCTTCAAGGGAGTTAAGCAATCTGGGAAAGTAGCCAAAACTCAGCTGATTAACGAGTCAAGGGCTGTGTTTGGATAACCACATTTGGCATGAGCAGGCAACAATTACTCTTCGGTTTGTGTGTACTTTTGGAGAAATACTACAATTCACTTTCTGGGTAAAACTTCAGCATATCTATACAGCTTGCAGTCCATTCCACTGCCTCTTATTTATTATATTTATATTTCTCCTTGCTTCCAACATGGAACTCAAGGTGACATACATGGATTCCCATGTGGTCTCCCATCCAGACACTGTCCAGACCCAAACTTACTTTCCACAAGGTGGCCACCTTCAAACCAAAACAAGACACAGAAAGTTGTGCCTTCAAACCATGCTGCAGTTTGAAGGCAAGTAAGCACTGGAAATGGTTGCCTCCAAGAAACGTGGGAACGTGAAGCTTCAGCTGGGTCTGCCAAGGCTCACCAAAATATCAGTACTTACACTGGCAAAGAGCAGCATTGACCGTGTATTCTACTGGATAGACAATATCATAGTGGCTTCCACTGGTGAAACACAGCAATACCTAAGAGGAAGCAGAAGAATAATATTGAAACAGTACGATCAGAAACCAACACACTGACCAAAAAACCAAATCAACAAATACCTCTACAAAGCAATTTTAAAGAAACATTTAGCAAGTAGAACTGTTTCAAGACTCTATACTTAACTAGTTGAATACTGTCTATGCTTCCTGGATATACTCAAGCAGTAGAGGAAACCCAACAGAAGTGTGTTGACTTGAATTTTATTAGGATCAGATATGTAGACAATCCAGGATAAGAATTTTTAGAATATTGATAGCAGGTTTGTTGGGTGGGGCGGAGAATTCAGATTGGGAAGCTGATATCAGAGGAGGAGGGTTAACACTCCTCCCCTGCCTCAAACATCACATCCCCAAGCCAAGATTTCAGCCATAGGCACAGGGCTGCTTTTTAAAAAAAATGAAATTGTTATTAAGTTTCAGAACAAACACAAAAAATAAACAGAACCAAAAAAAATTGCTCAGTGCTACTGCACAATACTTGTAAGTTGCCTCCCCAGTATGGGAAATAGCATTAAGACTAGGAAAAGTGACAGCGGGAAGGAGTTTCCTCTCCAGCCCTGATTCAAATCCAACATAGAAGCTGCTGCTATTTATTTTCAAGATGCAGGAGAAACTAACAACACAACGTTTTAGTCTGGCTTCAAGACCCTAAGCTAAGCAAGCTTAACCCAAGCCAAGCACGTACAGTGGTACCTCAGGTTACAAACACCTCGGGTTACAAACTCCGCGAACCCAGAAGTAGTACCTTGGGTTGCCCCAGGATGAGAACGGAAATCGCACGGCGGCGGCAGGAGGCCCCATTAGCAAAAGCGCACCTCAGGTTAAGAACGGTTTTGGGTTAAGAATGCACCTCCGGAATGAATTAAGTTTGTAACCTGAGGTACCACTGTATTGTTATAATGCTGTACTCTTGGCTTTGGGCTCAGAGGTAGCATGCCATTAGCCCCACATGGCAAAACATGCCACACCAGCTCTGCCCTAACTATTCTGCTGCAAGTTTGCCAATATTAGCACTTCTCTTACCTTGTCAGGAAAGCCATTTTCAGTTACATGCGAAGGAGCAGAATTTGGTTCCTGATATATTATGAAGTCTTTTCTAAAAGAATATGCAAAGGGGGAAAATGTATTAATAACAGGTTTTAAAATAAAATTAACAGTACAATATCATTAACAGTACAATCATCCACATCCAAACAGTCCCAGAACCATATATATCCACTAAGAAAATGGCGACGTCAATTGTTGCCAAATTCTTGAACAATAATTCTTCACAGTAGCCAAATGTCTCCTTTGATTCATACTGAAGGAAAACGTAGAAGTATTTCTTACCTGTACATAAGAGAAAGGGCACTTATTTCCACTTGTCCGACCCATTCCTATATCAAAGGGGGGGGGGGAATTGCAATGAAAAACCACCACTAAGGAAGAATACTTTTTACATCAAGTTAGAACACAGCCCACCAAGAGCTTCTTCTCCACAAGCCCAGTGGAAAGTCACCAAGTTGCTCAAGAACACACATCAAATTACCAGCAACAGACTAACATTTTAAAAGTTTCATCGTACCTCGGCTAATGTGCATTTGCTGCAGCTCATCAGAATTATATTCAGGGGTATGAAATGAAAATTTAAAAGTCATTTCAATCCAGCTGAATGAATATTCCCAGCTTCCACATAACCTCATCCTCCGTGAAGTATATTATGCAAAATATTTGGGGGTGTGTGGATTAGCCCCCAATACCAATGCTTGGCACCCCTCTTCCACAAACTGTTTTCCATGTGTCCAACAGTGCACACAGGACATTGACTTAATCAACTGGCCTATTTGATTAGGCGGTCTATAGGACTCAGACCAAGTTGGCAACTCAGACCCACCCAAGCTACATATCTGGCAGGTGTCAAACCTCTGTTATCTTTCTACTGTACTGCCTATTGAAGGACTTCCTTTTGTGAAAAGCCTGGTCTGTATCTTGCTGTTTTTTAATTGTTGATGCGTTCATTGTTTACCCCAGGGGTAGGCAACCTAAGGCCCGGGGGCCGGATGCAGCCCAATCGCCTTCTCCATCCAGACCACGGATGGTCCGGGAATCAGCATGTTTTTACATGAGTAGAAGGTTTCCTTTTATTTAAAATGCATCTCTGGGTTATTTGTGGGGCATAGGAATTCGTTCATATTTTTTTTCAAAATATATTCCGGCCCACCACATAGTATGAGGGATGGTGTACTGGCCCATGGCTGAAAAAGGTTGCTGGCCCCTGGTTTACCCAAATGAATATGGCAATCTCAACAGTAAATGCCTACATTTAGATACTATTAGAGGCTTTCCTCTCCTTTAAATCTTTGGCAGCTTGCTAAAGCTAGCTAAGGACAGAGCAAAACGGTTTCTGAATTCCTACTTGCAGGGACCAGCAAAGTCTGTGCAATTCAAAACGTGTGTTCCTTCACCATCAATATGGGGTAATGGTACTGTTATTACCCCTTTTGCAAATTCCACAAACACCCAGACAGACTCAAATAATTTTTTTAGCAGGGCTTGTGAAGAGCACATCACATGTAACACCAAGACACAAGAAAAGCTTGTGCACACTTCAGGATTAATATTTAGGAGAAACAGATGAGCCAGCTGCAGTCAAGAAGTGTGCTTTACATCACACACTGCATACTTAATCCAACAACACATACCTGAGGGTTTTCAAGACTCTTCAGGTATTCTTCAAATGGTCCCTCTATAAACTGTAAAATATTAACAATGAAAAGAATTTGTTAGCAGCATTGTGGTGAAACAGCTTTGACATAATTCCAGAAAAAGTTCATCTCTGTCTGGAAACCCACTGTGTGATCTGAAAGCCTTTCCAGAGCAGGGGACCCTCAGAGGCCCAGGGACTCTTAATCTCATGGTCAGCGGTTCGAGCCCCACATTGGTATTGCAGGGGGTTGGACTAGATGACCCTTTGGTCCCTTCCAATTATATGATTCTATGACTGAATGCAACCCTCAAGGTTTGCTGATTCAGCCTTCACGATTCCCTGGTCTGTAACATCCTTGGGTGCTTTTATTTGGCTAAAACGTGTCCTTTAACTGTGATAATGCCTCTTGCTGCCCTAGACAGGTGTGTTCACATGTCCTATGTGTATAGAAACCTCTGCCTTCTCCATGGCTAGAATGTAGCCTGCCATACAAAAGCAGAAGTCACAGTCATTGTTCCACACACTTTCTGCCAACCACTGGTACGCAGCTACTAAAAAGTTAAAAATAGGTTCCCCACCTGCTGCTCTAGTCTCAGATTTAAGGGGGAAGGAAAATGCACTCTGCACCTGCTCAGAGGAACTTCATATGTTCCAGGGTTAAATGCTGGGATTAAAAACAGATGTCAGAGCTGAGGCCTGGTACAAATTCAATGCTGCGTATCAAAACAAAGCCTTCAGTAACTTTTTCACTGCTTTTATTTATTATTTACTGTATTTCTCTCCCACCTTTCCTCCCAAGAGCTCAAGGTGGCATACATAGTTATCCTCCTCCCTATTTCAGGCATGTCCGAAGTCTGTTTTGGGGGCCTAATCCAGCCCGCTGGTCGGTTTAATCCGGCCCATGGCAGTTTACTTCCTGGGGTAAAATCCCCCAAAAAGGTCAACAACTTTGGTTGGCCCTCACAGCCCCTCACTTCATGAAAACTGGCCCTCTTTGAAAAAAGTTTGGACACCACTGCCCTATTTTATCCTCACAACAACCCTGTGAGGTAGTTAGGCTGGGAGCAAGTGACTGGTCCAAGATTACCCAGTGAGTTTCATGGCTGAGTATTTGAACCCTGGTCTCCCAGGCCTTAGTCCAACAACACTCTAGCCACTGTTGCTATCCCTACTGTAATGCAGTCCTGCCTAGCAAATAGCCTACCTCAGCAAATTACTCATAAAGGCTGCAACAATCACAGTTTTGTACAAAAGGTTATGTCGATTCTTCTTCTCCAACATAACACTTAATCAGCCACAGACGAAAATAGTCTACTATTCAATTCAAAATGTAAAAAATAATAAGCCTAGAACAGTTCACATAGGCAAAACACCCCCAGCCACACAATTTGCATGGAAGACACAACAGATGTTCAAAGTGATCTGATGCATTCCAGAGTGGCCATCTCCACTATCGAAGCAACTTGACAAAGTATTGCCAAGGCCACGAGAATCACAGCAAACTCTTCCTGGCAGCATCTGAGGATACACCAGGCCACGCACTGCCTCCTCCTCCTCCTCCTCCTCCTCCACAGGAATGCAGATGTGAAAATCCCCAAGGCAGCTCAGGCCACACTGGATGGAGGAACCATGGGCCCTCTTTGAGGAAGCTCCCAAGCTTTGAGCTTGGGACTGACAAGTATCTAAGAGATGCATTCAGATGACAAGCTTCTGGCAGGTGTGCCAAAGTAAGCAGGTTAACCATACAAATCTTGCCACATTAGGAAGATACACATCATACAGCTACAATATGTATATGTGTGTACGTACATGTGTATTGCTTTTGTTCATAACAAAGTAATCGACAATAACTGGAGAAAATGCAGCTACACTGTTAAGAATGCATGCAAGCAATCTAATGCCAGCAGCAGCTGTACAGACAGGAATGCTGGTTTCACGGTATTTGGACACCCCCTCAGAACAAGTTCCAGTGCCCTGGGAAAAAAGCTGACTCAGATGAAGTATTTACAAAAGCCACACCTATACAGTGGTACCTCGGTTTAAGAACAGCCTTGTTTATGAACAATTCGGTTTATGAACTCCGCAAAACCGGAAGTAGTGTCCCGGTTTGCAAACTTTACCTCGGTCTAAGAACAGACTCCGAATGGTGGAAGGGTACCGGTGGTGGGAGGCCTCATTAGGGAAAGCGCGCCTCAGTTTAAGAACGGTTTCGGTTTAAGAACCGACTTCCGGAATGGATTAAGTTCGTAAACCGAGGTACCACAACAGCCCTGTAAGGTAAATTAGGCTGGGAAGAAGTGCCTGGCCCAAAAATCATCCAATGAGCTTCATGACTGAGCGGTGATTTGAACCCCGATCTCCAAGGTCCTAGTCTAATACTCTGACCACTACACCACACTGCATTTATTTAGAGCACTTATTAATTTACTATGTTCATTTATCTCTTCCCATTGTGGAACTCAAGGCAAAGTACAAGGGGGTTTCCCTGGCTGCGTCTCCTCCAGGCACTGACCAGATTCAGACCCGCTTAGCTTGCATTGAGAGATGACTGCATCATGTGTCTTCAGCCCATGTCCTGCAACTATAAACCATCTGATCAAATCAAAACAAAGGGGCCCTTAGCCAGAGTGTGTTGGAAGGAGCGTAGACCCAGGGAGAGTGGGAAAGGAAACAGTTGTTTACACCAACCTTCACTAACCTGGTACCCTCCATTTCGGACTACAACCCTCATCAGCCCAAGCCAGCATTTTATTTTATTTTTTGCCAAGCTGGCGTACACCCACAAAGCAAGAGCCGTGAGAAACAGCACTGCCCCTGATAAGACACCCTGCACAATGAAAACATCGCTTGCTTACCGCTTCAAAATGCTCTCTGTTGTTCCGCAGGAAGTGTATACAGGCCATCCTAATATCCAGATGTTGAGCCTGGGAATGGAAAACCTAGAGGAGTCAGATAAAAACAACAACAACAAGGTGTTTAATGAACTGGTACCAATGAACAGACACAATACTGAGTTTCAAACTTGCATATGCTCATGCACTCAAACGTAAGGAGTCAAAAAGCTGCTGCGCTAGTAGTAAAGGCAAAATAAAAGACAAATATACAGCAAAAACTGAGGGCTGATCTGCACATGTGGAGTCTGAAATGGAAGAGTAGACCACCCAAATTTAAATTGGGGGGGGGAGGCACTCTGTGAAAAGTGTGTCCATGCTTTTGCTTAGTTATGTGGGTTTTATTTCTCAAGTTTAGGGAGACACTGAAAATGGTATTTCCCACATGAACACACCCCTGCAGTCTGAAAGACATAAGAGATGCAGCTATAATACCTTGCTGCTCCATCTCACTTTGACAACTATGACTGCCTCAGTGTCCTACCAGTTCCCTCAGTTGGAACAGCAAAGAAGGGCACAAAAAGAAAGCCTCACCACCCTCAGTCAAGTGCAATGAGCAATAGCTTCTCCCAGATCACAGCTTTAAGAGTGGAGAGAAGAGTTCAGAAAAAATATTTTAAGAATGTTATGTTGCGTGACGTCGTTGCTCAATTCAATCTTTTTACATGGTTTTGTATTGTGGTATATAGCTGACCCCCCTCCCATCCCCAAAATGCATTGAAAAGCATTAGTAAATGTAAAGGACCCCTGATCGTTAAGTCCAGTCGCGAACGACTCTGGGGTTGTGGCTCTCATCTCGCTTTCCTGGCCGAGGGAGCCGCCGTTTGTCCACAGTTAGTTTTTCTGGGCCATGTGGCCAGCATGACTAAGCCACTTCTGGCGAAACCAGAGCAGTGCACGGAAACGCCATTTACCTTCCCGCTGGAGCAGTACCTACTGGTATTTATCTACTTGTACTTTGACGTGCTTTCAAACTGCTAGGTGGCAGGAGCTGGGACCAAACAACGGGAGCTCACCTCGTCACACGGATTTGAACCGCCAACCTTCCAACCGGCAAGCCCAAGGCTCAGTGGTTTACACCACAGCACTACCCACGTCCAGTGAAAAGCATTAAAAATGCTCAATTAACTGAGGTTCTGCTTCCCCCAGCAGAAGCATGCCCCCACCTATAATGTTCCTTTTTTGAGGGGGGGAGTTTTACCCATGATCTCCCCAAAAAAGCTCAATAACTTTTTGCCCCCCCCCAAAAAAAGTGAGTCAATAGGCAGGAGGGATGGTCTAGCACAGAAACAAAGCAGCCTGCTAGAGTAGAAAAAAACCCTCCTTGGTGCCCAATACAGAAATACAACTCCCTTCCCTCTGCCAGCCTTCTTCGTGGGCTTATTTTACAAGGCTATTTAGTCCTTCAGAGGCTTCAAATCACTGCACACATATTATGCTGTCCTTACAACAATCCTGCGAAGTCGTTCAGTTCTGTCCTTCTTCCCATACTGGGGAGGGGAAGAAAGAGCCAGAGACACTCACCTGATTCCTAATTAATTCACAACATCTGGGGACCCACAGGTGGAGAAAGGCTGATCAGGAGTTCTTAATTCACTCAGCTGCTCCCTGACAACCCTGATAAGCCAACCCAGGAGGCTTGCGGCACCTTAAAAGGACTAATGAAATTGTTACGGCATAAAACATCTGCTGAAATGGACTTCACAAAAGCTTAGGCTATAAATTACATTGCCAGCCTTTTCAAGGTACCACAAGACTTTTTGTTGCAACAATCTAACTTGGAAATTATGGTGTTTTTTTTTTAAAAAAAACGTGTTCTCAGAAGTGATTCAGTTATAAGCATCAGGAATCAATCTGACAATACAGCCCAACCCTGTGCCCCCCCCCCATCGCCCACAACTGCCCCTAGAAGTGGAAGTATTACTAAGCACAAGCAAAGTCCCCTACATTCAGCTTTGGGAAGGTGCAGAGTCATTATAGCGACAGGAAGCTGACCTAATTTCAAAGCAGCCCTGGGGGTGTTTTGCACTGTGCAAGCCAGACAGCGTTGCACCCATTTCCCCCAGGCCGAATGCCATATTCCAGTCTGGACATAAATGATCCACGAGTCGGCTGAGCCACAACTGAAATAAAGCAGACCAGAGGCAAGGCGTTTTGCGTTTTCAGGCTACGCACTTAAGGAGACCGAAGTTTAACGTGTTTTTTTCCGCTTTCACCATCGTATATAAATAATATACAAGCATCCCATCAAGCATATACAAAAAGAAGGATAACTATCGTGTCTCCTTTCGTTTACCGGCAAATTTTAAATAGAAGTCTACAAAATTGGAGTTGGGAACATAATAAACATGGGAGGTGCAACCGAAACAACTTGTCGGAAGGTGACCAAAGAGCAGGGGAGGAAAGAGAATCGTTTCCCTCGAAACTAGAAAAAGGCAACTAGCAAATCTCTCAACAGTGCAACAAGTTCGCGGAGGGCGCTCAACTCCGCTTTCCACACGTAGATTCTTTTTCCCGGACGGGTTTCTTTCCTTGGGCGGCTGCGCCCCTAACCGCTGGCGTTTGGCCCTGGAGACCGCGCAGCCCAGATCCGCAAAAAACTTCCACCAACTCGTTTCCCCCGGCTTTCTCCGCCGCCTGCAGCTAGACAGCCGACGCGCGCCGGCAGGTCAAAGTCCTCCTTCCCAGGGGATTCTAGCTGCACCTCGGAGAGGAGGGAGAGAGACCCTCTCCCCGAACAAAGCCGCCTCACGACCCTCGCGCCCCCCGCTTGCAAAGGGAGACCTTGCGCACTCACCTGCTCCGCCACGGCTCGGAAGAGGCACGACCCGTCCTTCGCCACTCGCTTGCGGTACAACCCCTGAGATCGCAGGCAGGCGTCCATGGAGGAATCCGCCGGGGCCTCCGCGCCGGAGCCCGGGGGGCTCTGCTCCTCGCCACCTGGCTTCTCTTCTGCAGCAGCAGTAGCAGCCGTCGCCTCCATGTTTATTTATTGCTCCGGGGGTTGCAGGGAAATCGCTGCTTCAGCCCCACATGCTTCAGGAGAAAGCGGGAGAGATGCACCTCAAGCCCCTCGCTCCAAGGGCGGCTGGCGGCGCCCGGACTCCGGACTCCCGTTCGCAGGTCTCCTGCGAGGCGCCCCGCATGCACCGGGCGGCGGCAGCGTCTGCCGCTTCTTGCTCGGCCTTCCCGCCGGAGTTTCCTTGGCTTCAAGCCCGGCGCGGAGAACTTGCGCGCTCCTCCTGCTGCCCCGCTTGGGAAGGCGGCTCTCGCCCGCTCCCTTTACGCATCACTGGGCTCCCGGAGCGGAAACAAAAGAGAAACGAAACATGTGGCGCTTTCCCTCCCTGAAACGGGCAGCCCTGAAGTTTGTTTTCACTTTCAGAGCCAGACCGACACCCAAAGGGCTTCTGGGAGTTGTGGTTCGGCCGCTGCAGGAAGCGGCGGGGAGGGAGGGAGGGAGGGAGCCGGGAGGCAAAGGGGCTCGCAGGGAAGCGCGGACTCCTCTTATAGGAGGGCGGAGGAGCAAAGCAGCTGCTCTTTCCCGCGGAGGAATCCTTGGCCACAACGCGATAGCTGTGATATTGGTGGCCAAGCCTCAGTGGTTGTTTGGTTCCGGCTTAGGGGGCGATGAGGGTTCTGGAAACTTTAGAATCCACAGCTGGGCAACACCACATTCATTAAGACCAAACAAAACTCCGCAAAGCAAGCTTTCAAGCTCTCCAGAAGTCTTCCTGAAGCTAAATGTTACAAAGTACCCCCCCCCCAAAAAAGTCCAAAAGTTAGGCTGGGTGTTTAAGCCATGAGACCTGCATTTTTAGACCCAGTTCGAGGGTGGAGATTGCAAACATTCAGTGGGCTGTGCACAAACGTCATGCCATAAAAGCACATTCGTTCCATCAGATAACTGGGCACCGTAGTTAAGAGTTGCTGGGAGTTGTAACCATCCTTCTTTTCTGCAAATGAGCTTTAGATGTGAAGTGACAGAGAAGAGGGAGTTTAAGCATGTGCAGAGTGTCTTCTTTCTAATCAGTGACTGAAGAGTAATGTTTGTGGATATGATGACTGCATTTTTCTTTACTTCTCTGCCTCACAAGCAAGCCAGTACTGTATGCTCCAATAAGCTGGGTTTTAAAATGGCACTCCCCACTCCGGTTATCTGTGTGGAATGTTTGCTGAGTTGCAAATGACACCCCTCCCATAGCACCAAGCACCCTGGGTGATCTTAGGCCAAGCACAGTATCTCTCAGCCTCAATTCCCTCTCAGAGTTGTTGTGACGATAAAATGGGTGTATCATGCCCAGGTACTGTAGACAGAATGTAATGGGATGTACAAAGAAAAGGTACAACACTCCCAACACTGTGGAAAGTCAATTGCAATTCTGCTTGTAACTTGCAATGGAAGAACGATGATTGGGTAGCACTAGAAGCTACCTGGTCCAGAAGCAGCCAGGCTTAATATGCTCCTTTTTCAGCCATAGACACAAAAGCAACATCCATTCAATTAAAATCCAAATGCAATAACCACAACCAACATAAAACTCAAATATCCACAATATGCTACCAATTTACATATCACAAGGATACAGTATTTAAGGAGAATATTGTTCTCTTTTCAAAAGTGAACACACATTGCTTGTTTGCCCCATATTCGTTATTTGAAACATCCTGAGAGAACAGAGCAAGCCCAACAAAGAGCGGCTGGTGGCACTTTAGTAAAGGTAAAGGGACCCCTGATCATTAGGTCTAGTCGTGGCCGACTCTGGGGTTGCGGCGCTCATCTCGCTTTATTGGCCGAGGGAGCCGGCGTACAGCTTCCGGGTCATGTGGCCAGCATGACTTAAGACGCTTCTGGCGAACCAGAACAGCGCACAGAAACGCCGTTTACCTTCCTGCCGGAGTGGTACCTATTTATCTACTTGCACTTTGACGTGCTTTCGAACTGCTAGGTTGGCAGGAGCAGGGACCGAGCAACGGGAGCTCACCCTGTCGCGGGGATCGAACCGCCAACCTTCTGATCGGCAACCTTCTGATCCTAGGCTCTGTGGTTTAACCCACAGCACCACCAGTGTCCCTTGGTGGCACTTAAGAGGGTCCCTAATTTTGCAGGAGCTTGTGAGATCTTACCAGCTGGTATCAAAAACATCACAGGCTTTTGTGGCTCCTTTAAAAGTTAATAAATTATTATTCATGATAAAAACAATAATTTGTTATCATTCATGGAATATGGTCCACTTAATCAATGCGGCTAAACGGAAGCTGCTGAACCATTAGACTTGGACTGGAGACTGGGAACAGCTCTGCCTGACTGCAGAAAGTAATTAGGTGTGCATAAACACTATTCATCTTGTTTTGCCCATTCATTCATTACATGGCTGGCAGTAGATCACACCGATGCTTGATTGTATATTTTACTCCCTTCTGTAGACCTTGTTTGCATTAAATTTTGCATAGTGATGGCTTTTGCATTGATGTGTCTTCTGCCCTCACTTAGTAACAGTTAATACACACGATTATTCTTTCTGTTGTGTGTGTGTTTGTAATTTGCCAAGTTACAGTACTTTGTGTATCTAATAAAACAGGTTTTGATCCACAGAAGCTTATAGCACAGTAAGTTTGTATGCTTTGCAAGTTGTTGTTGTTTTTCTTCCACATGCTGGCTGGGGGCTGATGGGAATTATAGTCCAAAAGCAACCATAAGGCACCAGGGACTCAGCTATACAGCTGCAAATAAAATGTTTTAAGTGTATTGTAAAGTGCATTATAAAAATATGGTACTAGATGGTGATGGCAAGCTATGGTGAATTCAATATATTTTTCAAAACATTTTTTCAAAAAAGCATTTTCACATCTTTTTTATGTGTCTAGATTCCACCTAGGTTAGCGAAGAATGAGCTGGATAATAATGTGCTGTCTTTGGGTGTGATGAAGCCTTTTACTGGGACCAAAAACTCTTCCAAGATACTGAAAACAAGATACTGAACTGGGGGGGGGGAATCATGTTACACACCCAGACTGTTGCTTTATCTGATGAAAACTGCTGTCAAGGGACAAGAAGTTACAGTACAGGCTATTTTAATTTGATAAGGAGCAGCTAGGCCTTGCCCAGTGTTCTTGGATTCTTACCCATTTCAATGAATAATGAAAAATCTGCAGCGAACGGAAAAAAAGATAATATTCACAATACTTGCATTGCAATTAAGCAAAATGCTTTATAAACAAATCTTGTATGAGGATGTTCTCTTTCCTTTTCAGCGTCTGGTCTCCAGTCAGGAGGAGCTGCAGCCATTCTTCCTGAGGGAAACACATTCCCCTACTAGGCAACTAGGAAGAGAAGATTAAAGTTCCTTTTGTTCCCCTTCAGCAGTTGAAGAACACATGACTAAGACTTGTTGAACAGTTACAGGTAGGTCTGCCGTTGGTATGAAAGCTCATACCAATAACAAACTTAGTTGGTCTCTACGGTGCTACTGGAAGTAATTTTTTTATTTTGTTTCGACTTGTTGAACAGAAGGTGTGTTATGTTCATTTGCGTAGTATAGGACCAGGATAAGGGGAAGGTCCATAGGCTCACAGGTAGAGCACCTGATTTGAAAGCAGTAAGCTCAAGGCCAATGCTCAGCATTGTCAAGTAAGACTGGGAGAGACATAGGGAGCTGCCTTATATCGAGTGAATCCAATGGCCCATCTAGCTCAGTACAGTGGTACCTCGGGTTAAGTACTTAATTCGTTCCAGAGGTCCGTTCTTAACCTGAAACTGTTCTTAACCTGAAGCACCACTTTAGCTAATGGGGCCTCCTGCTGCCGCCATGCCACCAGAGCACCATTTCTGTTCTCATCCTGAAGCAAAGTTCGTAACCTGAGGTACTATTTCTGGGTTAGTGGAGTCTGTAACCTGAAGCGTATGTAACCCGAGGTACCACTGTATTGTCTACATAGCCAGTGTGGTGTAGTGGTTAAGAGCGGTAGACTCATAATCTGGGGAACCAGGTTTGCGTCTCCATTCCTCCACATGCAGCTGCTGGGTGACCTTGGGCTAGTCACACTTCTCTGAAGTCTCTCAGCCCCACTCACCTCACAGAGTTTTTGTTGTGGGGGAGGAAGGGAAAGGAGAATGTTAGCCGCTTTGAGACTCCTTCAGGTAGTGATAAAGCGGGATATCAAATCCAAATCCAATTGAATGGCAGTAGCTTCAGGGTTTCAGACGAAGGTTCTCTCTCAGACCTACCCAGAGGTGCCAGGGATTAAACCTGAGATTTTCTGCAAGCAAAGCAGATACTCTACAGCTAAGCTGAAACCCTGGAGGGCCATTGACAGTCACTGGAGAAAATACTCTGTTAGTCTGACAAAGTATCCAGCAGTGTTAGGATGGTCAGCATCACAACATGTGGGCAGCCCACTGTATACAATCCACGCCTCCTAGCAACCAGGTAACAACACTTCCTTCCCCTGATGGAGTGGACTGTAGTCCATGAGAGCTTGGGCTCTGTTGCTATCACTGCAAGCTTAACACAGCCGCCTCTCTGGAAATAGTTTCCATAGCATGTGATAGCCTCCAGATGGCACTAAATCCTTAGACATGTTAGCAAAACATCCAGGGCTGAAATACTGTAGGCATCGTACACAAGACAAAAGCCCCAAAATATTACAATTTAGACTGTAGGCTCCTCAAGACAGAATCAGAGAATCTTAGAGTTGGAAGGGACCATGAGAGTCATGCAATGCAAGGATCTTTTTTTGCCCGTTTCGAACGCACGGCCCTAAGATAAAGAATCTCATGCTCTAGAGTTCTCTGTGTTTTGTTTATATTATTTTATAAAACACCAGGTACACTGATATGACTGTATAAATATGCAACAACAATTATATTCCTGTGAGAGTGTGCTTTCCATTTCCCCCGTTTATTTGTATATAATTTTAAACATTTTTTCACAAAGATCTTTTTAAAAAGATGGGCCCATTGCTTGTCCTATGAGTATTGAAATTAATGGACGTGGCTAACTTAGCTCCATTAATTTCAAGGGGTCTACTCTGAGTATGGTTTAGATGGCTACAACATACAATTTATTACATGGGCAGTAACAAATTTAAAATAATTAGAGCCCATACAAAAACCAAATTGCACAGCACAGATAATAGGATCAGTTTCACAGGTGAGGCTCATCATCTATTAGCAGCATGAGGGTGGAGATCATGTGCCAGAAGGTAAAGTTGATTTTTTCTAATTTAGTGAGATCTTGTGCCTAGATCTAATTTTACTTTCTCAGTGGTGGAAAGTATGTTAATTAGAAACTTTAGGATATAAGTTGTGGGGCTTCTTGTAATTTGTCAGACAGCCAGTATGGCACATGTATTTATATTCAAGAAACCATAAGGCATTAGAGCACTCAAAACAGCCTATCTGAC